GGGGCGCGGTATCATATCGCTCATTCATGGGTCATTGGTTTCCTGCTGGTACTGTTACCAGTATAATTGGACTAGTCAAGCTACAATAGTAGGACTATTATGAACTCGCTCAGTTAGAACTATCCTCTAACTACTACGAAGCAGAAAGTTCGACTTCTTGTCTTGTGGTGGGTGATCACAGATGTAGAAACGTCTATGGATCTGTTACATCAACACCAGTGTGCTTAGTGCGAGTTTTTTAACGATCTCGATATCGCAAAAGTTAACTCAAATTTGTATGCAGTTGATACAGCGCGCCTACCGGCAAACGTAGACAAACATTCCAAATCCATACAAATTTGAGTTAACTTTTACGCTATCGTATATTTTTAACGATCACGATATCGCAAAAGTAAACTCAAAGTTGTATGCAGTTGGAACAGCGCCCCTAGCGGCAAACGTAGACAAACATACCAAATCCATACACATTTGAGTAAACTTTTACGCTATCGAGAACGTTAAAAAACTCGCACTAAACACACCGGTGTTGAGGTAACAGATCCATAGACGTTTCTACATCTGTAATCACTCACCACAAGACAAAAGGTCGAACTCTCTCTCTGCTTACGCTATCGAAAACGTTAAAGAACTCGCGCAATCATTCCAACTCCATGCAATTTTGAGTTAACTTTAACGCTATCGAGAACGTTAAAACACTCGCATTAACCACACAGTAAATCATAGTACCTATATAGCAACAAGCAGCGATTAAAAGCCGTCACAATAACACGCGCTTGGCTATTGTCTCCGTAATTTGACGGCACAAACCTTTGACTAGTTCGATGCTAAGACTTTATCTAATTTCTAACGCGATAAGCCCCTTGCGAGGAGAAATGTTTAACGTGTCAATAACACTGTTTGTTCACAATATATCGAGATTAGAATTTTATTATGAATAGAATTGGACAAACGAATTTATCGATTGCCCATTAAGTATTATATTTGTTTTCGTTATCAAACTTTTAATAATTTGATGTTTATAATAATCATTAAATGGTCTTGTAGTGTTGTTTATATGCTACACTTGAAAACGTCAGTTAAGTTATGAAGTAATAGATTTAGAATAAAAATTAATTTTCAATAAATAATAATCTAATTATATCTAATAAATGAATAAAAATAATTATTATTTAGGTAAAGCTAATTATAGATAGAAAACCTGCGTTAGCTCACCGCCAGTTGGCAGCGTTCCCAAAAGGCTGGCAGCATTTACGCGCTGGATTGCAATGCTAATTCTTTGTGCAAAATACGTACCGGCCTTCTGGTCTCCCGAGGCCTCAAATAGTTTTTTTAAGGTCCTTAAAAAAGCTTTTAGCATTAAATTGATTTAATTACGAAATGAGTTTTTCGACGCATAATATTCACAGAGGGTCGTAATTCCAATCCGGTGGTAGACTCTGCAAATCACTGCTCTTGCTAGGGCTAGTGTTAGCAAACTCTCTCAAGTTGAACTCGTAAGCTTACCTACCGATCCGCGTGTATTTCGAATAGTCTCCTAGGCTAACAATGAATAAGCAAGAGCAAATAAAGGTTAAAGATAGGAAAATTAGACCGTAACCCGTTCGGGACTAAGTATTTGCAACAACTCCTTCAATTATATGTCTTTCTCCGTAATCCTGTTTGGGTTGTGGCTTCCAGGACTTGCTTAACGTCGGGTGGGCTTTTAGCCAGCCAATCATATTTCACATGTTATTCATGTCTACCTATTCCAAAAACGTCAATAGCATAACATAAACAATTCAATAATCTGCATTAACTTATTCATAGAGTGTACACAGAATAAATTGCGAGTGGATTTGCCATTGAGTCGCTTGCTGTGTCATTACAAAACCCGCGAGCGTACCTTGAATTAGCTCTTCAGAAGGGGGGGAATACAGTTGAAAGTACCACGGAAGGAGAGAGAAGGAGAGAGAGAGAGAATACACTTTATTGCACACCAAAACACAAGTTACATTCCAAAAACAATCAGAAAAAGCAGATACATTTGTACAATAGGCGGTCTTATCGCTAAAAGCCATCTCTTCCAGACAACCGTTTAATTTACAGAAATTCTAGAAAATATAAAAATATAGCAGGTATGTTGCGGTGTAATATAGATAATATATTATTATAGAAAATATATACATACAATAAACAAAATATATACCGTTTACATTTAATATTAAATATATACCATTATTTATATACCAATATACATATTTACTTACATAGGAGTACCTACCGGAACGGTGGTCCAGAAATCATTCGTCACGATTGGGGTTTCAGCCTTACATCCAAGGTTCGGGATACTGACTGCTTAATGATGGATGACAGATAGATCGTGAACTAGGGTATCACAATCAGATACGTGAAACATCAAAAAACATTTATCTACACAATTGTTGAACTAATTTTCCTGCGATTTTAAACTTAAATTAAGATATTCAAGTAATGTGTGTGAGATAAACTGTTATTATCCAGAATACAGTATATATAAATATTTTATTATGTATAATATTACGACACATGTTCACGACAAAGCCCCAACCAAATCTATCCTAAGAAGGAGGGCGCCTTGGGTTCTGTAATACAGGTCTATGAACTTAGTATAGACTTCAGCTCTTTCAAAGGCTAAGGCAAAGACATTGATAAAAAATATGATTATCTATATTAACACGTATTATCTATATAATTCAATATAAAATAATTAAAATATTATTATCTATATTAACATATATTATTATCTATATTAACACGTAAAGTGTACCCCTTTTTACGAAAGCGCGCGGACGGAGGAGTGTGAAATTTCCCACACCTATAGAGAATATAGAGGAGAGCAGAATGTATTTTTTTTTTAATTATGCATAAAAAATACAAATCAATAAAAAAAACATTACACACACAACCATGTATTTGACACACACACATGCATACTATTTGTTTATTGTCAAACTTATCTTATTGCTTATAGTCTGTGGTCAAATTGAATATAGATTAAATATTGTGTTTCTTTATTAATATTTGTCTAAAGTGTGGTCTTGAGAAATCTGCGATTAAAGAAGTATTTAATAATAGAATCATAATAGTGTACAAACCTATAATTTCAAATAATTATAGTCGAATTTCGACTACCGCAGGACCACAGTAGTTATTATTAATAAATAAAAAATCTGAAATTTAGGGCTTACGTTTATGTTTAAGTTTATATTATGTACACAGGGCAAGTGTAGGGTTATATTACGTAGCACATACGTATAAATGCAAGAAGCCTTTTAAACGTGACGACGGTGGATGAGCTCCTCGCTCACCTGTTGTTAAGTTGTCATAGGAGCCTATAGATACCAATAACATAAATGCCGCGACTCTTCTTGAGACATGAGTTCCGTGTCACAGCTTCGTAAAATAGGTACGACACCCTTCAAATCTAAAGGAAGTTGTGCTTCACCACAGAAATAGGCAGGGCGGTGGTACCTAGCTCATAAGTCGCCTTAGCCTTAGTAAATATATACTATATATAATAGTATAAAAAATTCAAAAATAGAACATTTAAAATATATTTTCTAAAATAAGCCTAAAATAGTTCGTGAAATATACGTGTCCCGTGAATTAATTTATCTTCTGAATTAATTCTCGTCTCTGTAAAAAAGCACTCGTTGATGTCTTTTTTATGGAGCACGTTATTTCCTGTACACGGACATTAAGGTTTCATTCTAAATTAAATTTAATTGTAAATTATTTAAATGTAACATTTACAGATAGCTAGCAATTAGGTTTTTCATTCAATAAAATTACCAGTCATGCTACACTACACGTGTTTGGATAAATATGTACATTTAGTGTAATATTATGACTACATAATATATTATGTATATAAATATTTGGATGCATGTAATAATTTAAATAATATAACGATATGCGTAAAAAAAACAAGTAAAATATTTTCAGTAGTTTTTCAAGCTAAATATGAAGAGATTGATATTTATTGCATAATATCAACTGTCACACAAATGGCTGGCTAATAGAGGCATAAAGCTTATTTAATTACTGTTTATTATAAAAAGAGTGAATTGCGGAAGGTGTGACGTCATTGATCACTGCGTCTGTTTCCTTCTTTTTTAAATACATACTAAACATAATTCCTATACTATTAAGCAATGCTCACAATATCAGGACTGCCATTATTATAATAAATATTTAAAAAAAATTGACGATAAGATAAGATACCCTTTCGTTTGAATCTAGAACTAAAGTAGGATTTTCAATACTATAGAAACTAAATACTGGTGTAAAACATATAAAAAATGTTTATTTACAAATTTTTTTTGATGCTTTATTCCCATACCCACCTTTATTCCCAAAATCCACACCATAAATTTTGCTAAAAAAAATGCATAAAATTTATGGTGTGGATTTTTTTTATTCCAGTAACCACCATATCTATCCTTCCGAACACGCCAGTAAAATGGTTAGATTGCTCTATTTATAAGATCAGTACTAGTTTGCGCCAATTGGACGAAATTCATGACACGCAGACACGATTTAGATTTGTTTTCTCAAGGCGCAAAATATTTGTTTGCAAAAATACTTACAAAAGCTCTTTTAAAACGTTGGATAGACAGAGAATAAAAAAAAAGACTGGACTGTTTTATCATTGCTCTTTTCCAAACAGATATATCGAAACATCCTGATTATCACTCTCCATCAACAAGTACGCTCAACAAATTCGATTACCACACAATACGGTTACGTTGCAAAAACATTAAGAGTGACAACAACTTAATTTTCAATTAATTTATTGAAAAATTAATTTTCGATTTGTCATAACGTCACTCGAACATTATTAGATTTCGATGACGTTATCGTGATGCTGGTTGTATGAGAAAAAAAATCCGTGGCGTACTTTCCGTCGTGACGTCGCAACTCATTGAGCTAAACCTTCATAGCGAACGCCAGCTCAGTACTAGCGTGATCTATCTAACGTACACACGCACTCATCCACCAAATTCAATAGAGAAAAAAAATTCAATACAAATGTTCTGTGGCAGCTGATTGTTTATAAATTCAATTCCTCAAATGTTCTGCGGTACCTGATTGTGGAGTAATCCGATTCCTCAAATGTTCTGTGGTCGCTGATTGTGGATAGACATGGACCGAACGTCAAAGGTGCATCAACCCCGGTTTGACAGTTGGAGGTGATTGTGTGAGTGCGGCCTTTTTTTATTGAAGTGACATTTGACTAATATGGAGGGTGAAAGTCGGTGTTACAAAGTGAGTTCATCAGTTATAGATTCGGTGGGAAGATGCCTTCTCTTCAGTGTTTAACTTGAGCGCCGGTACAATAAAAGTCATTGTTATCTTGATTAAAGCAGTTTTACGGTTCAATTTCCCATTTATTTTATTGGTAACTTAATTTCCGTCATTCTAAATTATTCACGCTGTAGTCTCGGTAAATGATTCTTAGAATATAACATGATTTTAATAAATTACCTTTCATATCGTGTTTGATATTTCGCTCGCTTCTTGTATGCTGTAGACGCAATAAAATCGAATAAATACTGAGGAGATTTCGAATTTGAAACTGGACTTAGAATTTAATAACAAATTCGGAGTGCGGGTTTGTTTATAATAAATACCATATGGTATATTTATAGATCTCGGTACTAATAGTTGACTTATGTAACTTTTAATGATAGTTTGGGTAGAGGACGCCACTATAATCACTGTCATTCATAGACTGCAATTTCAAAAGTACAGCCAAGCTTTGAGTACTAGATAGCGGAGTTTGAGAACTTGTGACCAAAGATAGGATCGATAGTGATACCTAAAATTTTGACACTTCAAATATTACTTACTTTTAAGCAACGCAATGTAACACATTATAAGTCAATGGTCTCGTATGGGCATTGCGACACTCGGCTATTACTGTACGTCTTACAATGCGCGTTCATAATATTAGTAAAGTTTTTTTTTTTGTTGGGATTAGTAAAAGAAAGCGTATTTCCATTGGTCTCTAGGTAAAATTATTAACGTCTCAGGTTGTTTAAGTGCCTCCTTTGTACTCTGTATTGTAAGATAATTATATTGTTCGCTTAAGTTACTCATTAATGGTAGAACCAATACAATATGAATCCAAATTTGAAAATGCAATTCACTGCATTAATTTACTGTCCATCTGTATTATCCTTGGAAAGGAAAAATTTAAATAGGAGTTATTGGAGTGAGTAAGGCAAAGACCGTGTTCTGTTGGGAATATATCACGCTATCAACGCGTTTCATTCTGTTCATTAAAAGCCGGAATTATATCAGTAAAGATTCTTTGATTCCTGTAGATCATAATAAATTTTAAATCTTCGCCAACGGCGCTTCCATAAAAATTTCGAGAACGATTCTAATAATGGACCACAATAAAAATAAAGATAAATTTTATCTTTTGACATCAGTTTAATTGAGTTTCACCGTTTCTGGGTTTTCCGTTTTACGAATACTAGTTTTAGTGTATTATGATGACTATTAATGTGAATATCGAAATTTCTTCTTCTTCTTCGTCAATTCCTCATTACTGAGGGTCGTGATCATCTTGGTCTAGTTTTTGCACCGGCTTCCTCCAATGTTGCCTGCATTCGGCCTGATTAATGGCTGGTGTTTGTCGAAATTTAGGTTTTGTTTTTAATTAATATATTTCAAATATAAATACAATGCGTGTATAACAAAAATATTTACAGAGGATTTGCCTCCGAAATTCCAGATCAGTACGCACGCCAGTTAGCTTATGAATGTTTACAATTCCACTCATCGAAAGACCGAAATATCGGACAATAGTAATTGAATTCATACATTTCCGTAGGCAGCGGCTTGGCTCTGCCCCTGGCATTGCTGACGTCCATGAGCGACGGTAACCACTCACCATCAGGTGGGCCGTATGCTCGTCTGCCTATACGGCAATAATTAAAAAAAAAATCCTGAAGGTACAGTGATAATTCGATTTGTTCATGATTTGAAACTACCAATGCATCATAAACACTAAAGGTAATTAATTGGCGGGTATTTGGAGTTCCCCTCAAAGACCTTCAGACCAGACAAGAGTCATTGAAGACTTTACTTAACGATACATTAAATTCAACATATGTTTTTCTTGGGGAATCCCAACCACTTATTTTACAATAATACTCTGGTTAAATGTTATCTATCTCAGACATCTAAGTGTTCTGCGCTTATAATATTAAATTAGATTATGCAAAGCGCTTTAACTAGTCGAAAAGTCGAGGTAAACATCTGTTTATCCTATTTATGGCGATGGAATTCATACGTGAATTGTAATTTAGGTCTTTTTTTTGGTAGAAAATCCTGTGTTCAGCGTCTAAAATGGAGTCTAAAAATGGCGTTGTTCTAAGTTTATGAGCCATTATAACGCTAGTAGTAGGTAAAAACGGGTTTTATCAATGCACCATAAATAAAAAAATCTAATAGGATAAAAATAATGTTTTAAATTTGTAAACTTCTCAGAAGAAGTTCTCGACGTTAATAAAAATTGAGTTCTAATAGCCGGTACAAAATTGAATTCAGAATTGAAGAATCGAAAGGTTATGGTCGGTTACTTTAGATCGGTCGTTGATCGTCTCGCCAACACAAAGCCTTCATAAAACTATATATCGCTGTTAAAATCCAACTTAACTTGAACTAAGCTTCCATGAATCTTCTCAGCGATAACAGATTCAACGATTTTGGTGTGGCTTTATACAAAACACATTCAGAACGTTGTTTAATGTCCGATCTAAGTTGATCTCTACGATGCGGTTAACACTCGTGATTGGTAGTTCAGTTTGCATTGGTATTTTAGATCGGTGTAGCATGTGAAAACCCCAAGGTCTTGTTGAAAATGTAACAGGAGGCTGCATTCGTAACAGTCACGACGCGCGTGCGCCCTACCGCCGGCATCACAATGAAATGACGTAATATTTGTGTCCGTGGTTTTTGTTGAATGGGCAGCTACTTCCTGTATTGTCTATGTACAATTACGATAATGTACAAGTACAATTACTATTAACGTTTCGAACGCATTCTCATTAGATATGTAATAATCGGTTTAATTATCGATCGCGCAATTTAAGATTGTTTCCTGTTTCAAAAATGTCCACTTCTTGATTTCATTATGTTAACTGCGTTAGTTATTTTCCAGCTATTGTTTGATTTTGGCGATTTTCGTGGGTATATAATAAACAAAATCAAACCATTCTAGATTATATGGGCTCCAGTTTTCTCCTTATGTAATGGGCACGGAAAACACGAAATGAGACAACAACGACTACAACCAGATTCCAAACCGTTTTTTTTTGACAAATATTACAAATCTATACACAAGCCTGGAGTATTATTAGCCAGGGTAATTGACTATAGGCACTAAGCGCTATAAAATACCATCATCATCATCATCATCAGCAGCCCACAGTCGTCCACTGCTGGACATAGGCCAAAATATAGTGATTGTATAACATACAATTATATATAGTTCTATTTAAACAACAAATAGGATCGTAACAATGTTCAAGGATTAATAGTTTAATAATAAACTATTAATGTTTATATATTTATTATATATAAACTATTATGTTAATATAGTTTAATAATAAACTATTAATGCTTTTATTGATAATCAATGCATCGATAATTCTTACTTATCCGTCTCCCACTGGCTGTGGTATGAAGGTCTTAGGTTGACCTTGCCATAATCAGACAACGCAATTAGGTTAAAATATCAAATGAACCAAATCGCAGGCCTGGAATTAGCAAATACTTGAAAGGAATTGCAGACTTCCGACTGTGAACAAAAAACTGGGCGGATATCGCGTAACCCAAAAAAAAAAGACGGATGTCTGTTAGTAGGTGTTGCAGTTCATTGATAAATTAGAATTGTACGCATTACGGTTTTTGCCTGTAATTGTATGTGTTTCATTGTTTTGTCTACACTGTTTGATTATTCATATATTTATAAGAAAATACTACAGCAGAAATACCCTCCAAATAGCTTTTTTCGGTTAAGTTAAGAGATCAATGTTGTTCAAATATTTTTTAATACGGAATTTGGACATACGCGAGTTTTTTTTTGTAATTTTCATTAGGGCGATTCAGGTTTTGACCAGATTTCTTGTATACAGTGATGGCTACCACTACAATTAGTCTTAATTATTTATTCACACTCCTGGATAATCTACAAGGAATTAACACAAAGAAATTTCAGTTTAATTTGTTTTTTATTAAATTGTTTCTTTATGTAATCCTCTTAGAATCAGACGTCATTAGCATACACGCTAATTATTGTATGTAATGACAAAAAAAATCAGTACTTCAAAACCCGCGTTGAATTCAACAATTTATATCCGCGTTACAGGCGCCAATCGATACTAATTTATGCACAAATAAAATAATTTACGCAAATTATTTGGGCCGTTATTGAGTTGAGTTTCAAAGACGACGCCATTATTTTTTTTTGCCCGAAATCAATTAGTTATTGGCAACATTGTTTTTTTTAATAAAACTTTAGGTACTAATAATAATACGTAGAGCGGTATTTGTAATGTCACATCGACGTAATTAGGATAATAATATGGCGGTTGGTTTTATTACTACAAATTCCTATACAGCTTTTAAGCCTGTTATTTTTTTCGATTGTTTGGAGTATTTCAATTGAGAGCTATTCTCTTATATTCCCAAATATCATCGATGCTCTTAATAACAAAAAAATAGGCCGGTCTCATGAGCACTCACGGGCCCACTTTATTAAACAACAATATGACACTAGAGAAGTTGATTACATTTTTCTTTGGCTCATGTCCGTTGTCTAATAACAAACAGTCGGTGAATTCAGATCGATATTTGAGTTCTATCACAGTGAAACGTAATTTTTTTCTGCCTGTTGATGACAATGAAATGAATCTAGATTCAGTTTTTAACCTCTTCAACAAGAGAGAAACGTTAGCTTAATAGTAGTTCCATTAGAGAAAATTGTATTGATTTTGAGAGTGCCACCGAAGGTCATCAAAATCAAGAATCATCAAAAATTATACAGAGATATGAAAAAGTTGTGTTTACGTGTGGCTTTGCTTGGATTAAAAATTAGAGATCTCGAGAATGGTTATTTTTTCTAGGTGAAAATTTCTCATTTTTTTTTCTTTACCCAGATAACCAGATTCTTTACCAGATTTTGAAGTCGTCGTGGCCTAAAGGATAAAACGTCCGGTGCATTCGTATGTAGCGATGCACCGGTGTTAGAATCCCGCAGGCGGGTACCAATTTTTCTAATGAGATACGTACTCAACAAATGTTCACGATTGACTTCCACGGTGAAGGAATAACATCGTGTAATAAAAATCAAACCCGTAAAATTATAATTTGCGTAATCACTGGTGGTAGGACCTCTTGGGAGTCCGCACGGGTAGGTACCACCACTCCGCCTATTTCCGCCGTGAAGCAGTAATGCGTTTCGGTTCGAAGGGTGGGGTAGCCGTTGTAACTATACTGAGACCTTAGAACTTATATCTCAAGATGGGTGGCGCGTTTACGTTGTAGATGTGTATGGGCTCCAGTAACCACTTAACATCAGGTGGGCTGTGAGCTCGTCCATCTATATAAGTAATAAAAAAAAAAAATGTGTATGCAGATTTTCACGATGATCGGTTAGCTAAAACATTAAAGAGTAACAAACAAACTAACTTTCGCATTTATAATATTACTAATGATAGCGGTATAGACCTATGTTCCCTCGAAACATATCTTACTGGTGATCGACATAATAATTCATTGGTCCCAATATTTATGTTCAAGGTGCCCTATATTTATGTGATATGAAAAAAAATTCTACTATGTCTACAACAACATTTCCAGTTTCACACAACAATTAATTGTGACGACGAAACAATAATATAATTAAATCGTGGGAACAATGCAAATGGTCATTGTTTTAATATATTTAAAAAAAAAGTTGTAAAGGTTCATTACTTAATCACAATGACTTGAACGTCACGATGTACGTAGGCAAGTTAAGTAAGTACTAAAGTCTGTAAAAGGGGGTTGTATTTTGATAGCGTCTAAAACAACTTCATTGAGTGACAAAAATAGAACTTTCTAAATTTCTGATATATCAAATCTCGAATTTCGAAAATCGAAATCAAAATACATATTCGAAATTTTAAATATTCAAAAGAACATTTCGTACATGTGTGTGTTCTTTTAGGTGCTCAATATTTCACAGATTTGCCAACATAGATTTTCAAATTTCTTGTCTTCACGCTGTCCATAGTATCTCATTTTAAAATAAACAAAAATGTATCTTTAAACGTAGAGCACGATTCAATAACAGTATAGTACAAACAGAACTCGAGTGATGGCGTAATAAAATTTTAACGTAATTGACGCTTGGGTTTTGACAAAATTAGTCATAACCAAATTTAGATTTAGCGTGACGTTAATGTTCTGTGCTAGCAGACGTAGCCATCTGGATAAACTGACACGTTGGCCGGTGATCTGATATGATACGCACGAGGCTCGAACAAATATTTGCTCGAGATCTCAAGACCGAGCAAAATAATAATTAACACCTGCCCAATCCCACGCACCAGTTAACGATCTGAGAAGTTTTCTATACAAAGAACGGAACAATGTCGTACCACATTAATAGTTTTGTACGAACTAAATATTTATATCGTACTAGCTGACCCGGCAGACTTCGTAGTACCTCGATCGATAAATAAAAGACCTAAACTTTTGTATAAAATAAATTTAAAGCAAACAAAAGAAATCCGTCTGACGGGGGACACATAAAAGGGAAAACAAAGTTGTTATTTTTATTTAAATCCGAGCATTTTCATATTTATTTACCTTTTAAACCTTCTCTAGACTTCCACATCCAAGCTACCATTCAAGAACAAAATTAGCCAAATCAGTCCAGCCGTTCTCGAGTTTTAGCGAGAGTAACGAACAGCAATTCATTATTATATATATAGATAAAATAAACAAATAATATCGTATTTTTCTTTTGTTGTCGGTAGATGCCACAAACCGTGCCGCGGTCCGGGTGCAGCCCGCCTTCAGCATCACAAGGCGAGAGAGCTGTCCCCACGTCTCCAGCTGATCTGCAGCACCTGCTCCGTTTATTAGGGGCCTCGTCGCCGCCAGAATCCATGCTTCACTCTCCACCGAACCTACACACAAAACCTCCGCCACCATATCCAGAGGATAATAACTTCTTGGACAGGCTGTACGATTTTGAAGGATATCCTACCCCGTCTCCTTCGTCAGACGAAGGCTCGATTCCCACGGTGGCGCTGCAACCATCTTCCCCGTACAGTTCACTGCACTACACAACACCAGTGTATATCAAAGAAGAACCAAACAGACTGTCTGTGCCTGGATTTGCCTCACCCTACCCTCTGTCGCCTTCTGGATCCTGTGTATCTTATGGAAGCCACAATCAGTATCCTTCGCCTACACCTCAACCCGAAGAATATATCGACATCGAGCAATTATTAAAAGAGAATCAAATATTACAAGACAGCACACAGCATAGTTACATAACCCCTAAAACAGAGATAGAAGAACCAAGAGATCATATATTATTGAGATCAGTACTCGAAGATACCACATTCCAGAAGAGATTCAATCTTAGACCCGTGCCTTTAGAGTTGGGAAACGTAAAAATGGAGGAGAGCAGTGGTGGTGACGACCTGGTGGCACCGGATATTGATCGTGTGCTGTCAATGGCCATTGAACAATCTAAAAGGGATGTGGATAGCACTTGCACAGTCCTCGGAATATCGCCAGGTGAGCTTGAATTCAATAGAAACTCGATCTTTATTTTATAGCTGCTAATTCGGTGGCGCAGTTGCTTGCACCCCAGACTGGGCCTAGAATTATGTAAATATATAAACATAATTATCGACCTCTGATTTCCAAGCTACAGGGAATCTAAGTTTGAAGTCAGATGATCCTGTGTGATTTGTTCCGGATAATATATTAATTTACCGTTCCACTGCGCTTGAAACCTTTGATTAGTAGTAGGTGAACTTACTTAATTTGTCTTTTAGTAAACCCACAGATATTTTTTACCGATGATTACCGAAAAAAATCTTATTTTTTTAATTTTTTTGTAATATTACTTTGATTATATGAAAGTTTGAAATTCAGATCGGTACGATGTCTTTACATCTTGTAGCGCTTAGAAAATACAGCAGCGATGCAAGATTTTCAACTACTATTTCAATAATCTCTACATTTTATTGATATAGTTCAATTGAATAATGGCGATTAGTAATTATTACATAATAATAGCCGTACAACTGTCAGAGACTATCCGAGGCAAACTTTCAATACAAATTATCATTCTACATCATTATGGCGAATGTAAGGACCTTGTTTAAACAATTAAAATTTTAACGACAACCATCATATTTATTCTATTAATAAAATATCATGTAATTTAAAACACGGCATGAGAATCTTACGTTCGTAACATCATTATGGCTTCAAACAATGACGTCACATTGTAAAAAACATGTTTCTGTGTAGAATACGGCAACCGAGCATCATTACAAATTAGTTCCAAGAACTCCATCATAGATAATTGCGTAGATTATAGATCTGTTTATGTTGGAATAAAGATGATATTAACTTTAACATATGCATGACGTTTGAGCCTATTTTAATTTATTAAAAACTATTTTGAGAGTAAAACCGTGTGCAATTAAGTTGAGTTTTGAATACTACGAAATATTGTTAGGTAGATATAAGCTAATCAGTATTTCTTAGTATAGTGCAGGAACGTACAAAGTGCTTAGAAGTGTCTCATGCTTTTAGTACTTTTTATGATTTTCTAAGTTCGTTGATTAAAACACTGATCGGGAAAATGCTTACATTATATAAGCGCTTATTGAATCGTTATGTTTTTAATCACATCTTTATTCCTTTATCGATGAGAAGAATATTAAATTTTAGGTCTATGGATAATACTTACCTGAAAAAGATTCAAGTTAGTTTAGCCAATGTGGAGATTAGTTATATATCTTTTTTCGATTTTATAATACGTTTATAAATTAATATCTTTTGTTCTAGATCCAATGCTTTGGAGTACGGCGGATGTCAAAGCTTGGGTGATGTTTACATTGCAACATTTCAACCAGCCATTAGTACCGTCCGAGTATTTCAATATGGACGGGGCTGCACTGGTGGCTCTTACAGAAGAAGAATTCAACCAGAGAGCTCCTCAGGTGAGATCGCATGATTAAAATCAAAACTTTAGATTAGCATACTAATTCGTTGACCATTACGAAATTAGGTTAGTTTTACTGGTGGTAGGACCTCTTGTGAGTCCGCACGGGTAGGTACCACCGCCCCGCCTATTTCTGCCGTGAAGCAGTACTTAATGCGTTTCGGTTTGAAGGGTGGGGCAGCNAAAAAAAAAAAAAAAAAAAAAAGGTTCTAATTTCGGACACGATTTTTGCTCAGAACAGTTGGCGCGAGTACTTGTAAGCGGGCTAAAATCTGATGTATTTCAGAATTGTATTGTAAGATTCGAAACTTTTTTTTATTGGTTAGTTGTGTGGACGAGCTCACAGCCCACCTGGTGTTAAGTGGTTGCTGGAGCCCATAGACATACTACAACGTAAATGCGCCACCCACTTAGTCCGACAAGAGGGGCCTAAACTATGCCTGCACGGTATAGCTACAACTGTCCAGTCGATTTATAAAGTTTCTTCTAAAAATTTCTAAAGTTCTTGTTTATAGACTGGAATACTGGATTCAAAATTGAATTTCCATTTTTTTTTTCCAACCTTGGACCATAGTAACCGACATATAATAACTATCGGACAATAATCAGCAATTCGTAATCGTTAAGAAGCGAAATATTATTGCGATGATGAAATCAGTGGCCATTAACAAGTTATTTGCCAATTATAATAATCGATGACCAATAATATTTACCGTATAGTAGATCTGGCCAAAGTTTAGTCACGATAAGAAATTGTTTACTGAATTGTTGTAGCTCGTAATTACATCTCTAGTTTATCTCATTGTTTTCAAAGCATTTGCTTTTGTGGGTTATCGTTTAGGTTACTTTATAATTTAAAAGCATGTGTAGTTAATAGTTATATGAACGCTGTTGTAGTTCATGAATGAATCGGTTGGTTGTGAGTATTTTATTAGGTAATGATGATTGGATGTTTCGTGGAGCAATCTAACAAAATACATTAGCAGTGTCCTTGTCTTGCTCGTAACCTTTCTTTAAAGGGCGATTTTTGATATTTCTCATTTCCGTTCTCCACTGATCGTAAAATATTAAATAGGTTTAATATTAAATATTAAATAGTTTCTTATTCTTCATTCTTTAAATTTACATAAGCGATACGATTTTAAAATTTTTTTAGTGGGTTAGAAAATCTGCTACCATGTCGTCCCGTAGTTTTTCTCACAATATCTATCTTGGCAATTAATATACGATCAACTATAATCTAATCTAAGGCTAGAAGACATCACTTAATGCTATTCAAATGTCTTGTGGGATATTTTGAGCACAGAAATTAAGACGGTGTCTTTTGTAGAAGTGTTTTTCTTAACGCCTATCACACAGTAATTTGAAGCAAAAAATTTTTTTTATGTTTTATTAAAATATAAGGGACCATAGTTTGTTTTCTGTAAGAAGCATTGCAATAATATCGAAAATATAACGGCCTGTTCCTAATATCGAAATTCTTCAATAAAGAACAAGCATTACCGTTGTACCATTAACGTCACACATCGGCAGCATGTCGATTTGTATTTTTGCGTCCAATAGTTTATGTTAGTTACGTCATGTGATACATCTTGTGTGCCTAGCTTAAAATTATGAGTCAGTTTTTCTTTTAAGATTTCAGTTATGAAACACTACACACGTCTTTGTGCTCAGATCTTATCCACTTCTGTTAGGTTCGGAATTGTTTATATTTACAAAATGTATGATAAATAAATAATTTTATTTTTCATTTATACTCAGATTGAACACGTCCATTTATATACGTACACTTATAGCTTGAGTTTGAGAAATGAGTAGACGGGTTCCATGGTTGTGATTGTCGGAAATTATAGAAATCGCGAAGAGAATTTTCAGCAGTAGGTAATCTGTATGACTGTCACTGGCATTGTTGGCGTCCATGAGCGATGGTGATCACTCACTGTCAGGTGAACTGTATTAGACTGTCTACAGTGGCAATAAAAGGAGCATGTTAGGGCCCCTCTTGAGACACAACATTTTAATGCCTAGGCAACAGCTCAGCCATATCTCTGGAAACGCTTATGTCCACTAGCGATAAAACCTGACATTTACTGGTGGTAGGACCTCTTGGGAGTCCGCACGGGTAGGTACCACCACCCTGCCTATTTCCGCCGTGAAGCAGTAATAAGTTTCGGTTTGAAGGGTGGGGCAGCCGTTGTAAATATACTAAGACCTTAGAACTCATAGTTGGACTGGAACATACACTTCACCCCAGGTGGACTGTGAGCTTATCCACCTTTCTCTGCAATAAAAAAAATAAAAAAACACATCTGAAGATTTTACGAAAACTCATTTGCCACAGACATGCAAAAAAGTCTACGTATTTAGCCGATATACGATGAAAAAGCATAAAACTAGAATTTAGTCTGTTGTACTTATTTAATTTGAATTACTTATTGGCATTTGACAAGAATTATATCGAAATTGGCTATGGCATGACAATTCCATTGACACGGCTTGTTCAACTATATAAAGATTAAAAATAACTAGAGGTCCCGCAGTAGTCGAAATTCGGCTATAATTTATTGGAATTGTAAGTTTGTACACTATTATGATTGTATTTTATACTTTTATAATCACAAATTTCGCCAAGACTATTCACTACACTATAAAAAATATTAACAAAGACAAACACTGTTTAATCTATTCTAAATTTGATAACAGAAGTCAAGAACAAAAGTTTGACAATAAATAGTATGCATGCGTGTGTGCGTCAAATACATGGTATGTAGTGTGTGTAATGTTTTCTTTATTGATTTAATGTATATTTTATGCATTATTTTAAAAAAAATATTAGCATTGTGCACTTCTTCTCTATATTCTCTGTAAGGGTAAGAAATTTCATACTCCTCCGTCCGCGCAATTTTCGTCAAAAGGGATACAAAGTTTTTGCTTCACGTATTAATATATAGATTATTAAGCATAATTTACGTGCAATTCTTAAATAGTGTTGAGTACCTCACCAGAGACAGCTCAATAGCAATGCGGTGGATTCTTATCGCTCCTGCAAATAGTAAGCTAGTGATGCGTGTCAGTAAACTGTAATGGCGGTAAGTGTTACGTATTAGCGAGGAAATCCGGCGACAGAATCAGGCTTGTTACACAACGACAAAGCTACGCTTCGATTATTAGACTAGGCACCAATTATGACGTCAGATGTTTACTCTAAAATTAATCGTTTCTTATTTGACAGCCCTCCATTATTGCGATATTTAGCTGTCTCCAAATATTTCAGTTACGTAATTGTATTGCTTCGGACAAGCGTTCAACCTTTCTTGTTAAGTCTTTTAAAAGTTTAGCGATGGCGTTACGTAAACTCATTGTCAGCGTTGCATTTTTATTTTTAAGCGGCTTATGAAAGCCTAGTTGTTTCAATTGCCGATAAGAATGCTGTTAAATTCGCAAAGTCCTTGACGGTTATTAGTTAGTTGTTTTATGTGACTTACTTTAATTATTTTTTTCCCTGCCTATTCTGATAGCCTTGAGAGGCTATATCAGCGTTACCCTAGCGTGTAGGTGAGCTCACGGGGCTCAAACTGGAGTGTTGCTAACACTGACCCTAGCAAAAGCAGTGCTTCGCAGAATCTACCTCCGGATCGGAAACGCGACCCACTGAGAAGATTCGGCGAGTAACTCAGTGGGCTGTGTCTATGGGTTAATTTACTCGCTGAACCCTTCGTGACAAGCGACGGGTTTGGCGAGGACGGTGACTAGTCCTTGAGGTCTTTAATGAAGTGGGTGCTATATAACATAAACTAGAATATATAAATAAATTTGCTCTTATTTTTACCAAAACATACATAACGAATAAAAATGAAAAATAAAACAAATCTTAAATTGTTTGTTCATGAAACTTTTTTTAGAATTTTTTTTATTCTAAATTAGTTCTTTGCAGTAGGTATACATTAAATGCTTAACACAGAATCCGGTCAGAGTTAACGTCATAGCTTACGTTAGTATTAGCTGATCCCCCTGGATTGTGGGAGCTTATCAAAACAAATAGTACTGTTTACTTTATTCTGTGTCGATATGTTTCGTATTTCAAATGTAGTAAAGATTACATTCCGGTCGAGAAAAAAAAATTTAGACCGTTTAATGTATGGGCGGAAATATCTGCGTTTTCAAGTTATAAAACGTCTTGAGATTTCGTTCCTCAATATCATAAAGCTATAATTATCTGTTCTGGAATTTCCTCAAATCTTCAGATCTTCAGGTCTACATTTTCTTCTCCCGTAAGTCTTCAGTCGATCTGACCAAGCCCAGCGACCGAACAAAGCATTTATCTATACTAATATATAAATCTACAGTGGTTTTTACGGATGTTCCGTTATAACTACTGAACCATGCATCTGATTGATTCAAAACTTGGTATCCATGTAGAAAATACATGTACTTAATGGATAGGCTAATATTTATATGAGTGTTGGGCTCCCTAAACCAGTGAGAAATAATAATGTTAATTTTAAATGCCCAGCGAAGCGGACGGGTACAGCTAGTTGTTCATAAGTTTAAATAAAATATTTTTAATAATAGTGTTGTAAATCTATTTTTTTTTGCAGTCGGGAAGCACTCTGTATGCTCAGCTGGAAATATGGAAGGCAGCAAGACACGAGTCGTGGAAGACTTCTCAGTGGACTGACCATCAACCTTCGCCTACACCTGTACCGGCCGCGTTACCCTCAGCCGACGATATGAGTGAAGGTGCGTACGTCGAAAGATATTTTTAAATTTAATTTCATGGTTGCCTATCTATTATACATTAGAACCTAATATAAGTTGATTAATTGATGCATATACGACCTTATGCCTTAATGTCGCGATGTGATTTACGTATTAATAATAACTAGTGGTCCCGCAGTAGTCGAAATTCGACTATAATTTATTGGAATTGTAAGTTTGTACACTATTATGATTCTATTTTCAAAGACTATTATGCTTCTATAATCACAAATTTCGCCAGGGCTATAGTATAGAAAAATATTAATAAAGACAAACAATATTTAATCTATTCTCAATTAGACCACATACTTTAAGCAATAACAAAAGTTTGACAGTAAACAAAGAGTATATATTATTTAAGTGTGTGTGTCAAATATGTGGTAGTGTGTGTAGTACTTTTATTATTGTTTATATTGTGTATATATAGATTATCAAAAAACAGCCAGTAATTCCAAAGTCAATAATTCAATAGATGTGAAATTTATTGTGTTGATTTTAACAAAATGTTCTGCTATCTTATTTGCTCGAACACTGCTAAATAAAACTAAAATTTAATACATGCGTGACGTATAAAGTCGTAATGTCGTAAATTTTACAAGTGGCTTGTTGATAAAACATTGATTTTAGATTAAAGCGTATCACTATAGATCAGTTAACAACAGAATACATCACCATAATTCGTTGAAATAAAAAGGTGTTTACGTACTATCTAAACCAACGTAGCTGACAAAAACAAAACTCATTTGCTAAACTAAATCACTTTTTGTATCAGCAAGGGTTTTTTATTTATTTTTGGTATAGATTAGTAAATGAGCTTGCCGATCGTTTAGTGTTAATTAACTGCTAATTGGAGCACGCATTCACTAAAAGCACAACTTAAAATCAATTCCAAATTGCTCAACGTGTCAGCTGTTTCAATTAGTAGCGTAAAATTGCGTGCGGCATTAAGGGCTTTGGTAAATAATTGTAATTTAATTAATTTGATAATAACTTTACGACTGGGTTTTTTGTTAAGTCACGCCACCGTATGTATTCAGAAACGATGTCTTTAGTTCGATCTTTATCATGATGTGCGAAAATTACTACGACCAAAAAAGTTAATCGTGCCTCAGAGATAATTAGTTTGTTTCCAAAAAAAAAATCAGGCAATAAAAGACGAATAAAACAAAACGACTTAAAAAAAACATCTGTCTTCCTTAAATCTGACAAATTAATTTCAAAGGACAGATTCCTTAATCTAAAAACTGAATTCCTTTTAAGAGATGCGGGGCTTATAATAGAAAACACCCATCGAAATTCTTTACTGCGGAACAAGTCAGATGTGACACACAGATGCATTAGGTACAAGTATTGTGCATTGACCGTTAGGCGATGGTCAACCTACATACGACCAATGTAATAAATAATATGACAAGACCGCGTGTAAAGTGCATGATGGAACTATCGACAGAGCCAGACAGAATGGGGACGATTCACAATATACCTTTTCTAGCATTACATGCGAACTAGTCTTTTATAGTTTTTTATCGGTGTGCTTAGGAGAACAAGCTTACAACTTACATTTATTTTTTATTTTTTTATTACTGTGATGGGTGGACGAGCTCACCTGGCGTTAAGTGATTACTGGAGCCCATAGACATCTAGTCGAAGTTTCAATTGTGGAACGCCTATATGACCCTTCAAGCCAGAAAGCATTATAGACATAGATAAGACGTTGGTCCCAACTACGCAAATTTTAGTCAACTGACATATTATATTTCCTCAGAGTAATTGGTATTTGTTTAGTATTTGAATTCTGACACTATCATTGCTTGATACAACTATAGTGGGCATCTAATTTTTTTGACCAAAATTACTTCAAGTACCAGAAACAAAAAAGCGTACCGCTTATATTCTTGATTCAGAGACAGAAAAAGGAAAAAATAGAATACACTTTTGTGAATATCACGATTCATGGTACTGATAAAAGACATTGAACGCTGAAAGATAATTTAAGTTATCGTTATTGGATGAATGATAGATAATCAAAAATTGAAATCTTTATTTGTTGACAACGAAGTACTACGTGACAAATTGCATGAGTCCAAGAAAACTTACGCTTACGTACGTGAATACACAATGCCCTTCCTTTCTCTAAAGCGAACAGTTAGCTCATAAATAAAAAGGCTGAGAGTGGCACAGGAAATAGCTATCGACAATTATCTACTAGATGACTGACAGCACGAATCGAATAGCTTCTTTGATATCAAGATTTATCTCAGAAAATATCTATATATTAATACGTGAAGCAAAAACTTTGTATCCCTTTTTACGAAAATTGCGCGGAAGGAGGAATATAAAATTTTGCAAACTTATAGAGAATATAGAGAAGAAGTGCACAATGCTAATATTTTTTTTTAATAATGCATAAAAGATACATTAAATCAATAAAGAAAACATTACACACACTACATACCATGTTGACGCACACACGCATGCATACTATTTATTGTCAAACTTTTGTTTTTGACGTCTGTTGTCAAATTGAGAATAGAATATGGTTTGCCTTTGTTAATATTTTTTATAGTTTTGTCTTGGCGAAATTTGTGATTATAGAAGTATAAAATAGAATCATAATAGTGTACAAACTTACAATTCCAATTAATTATAGTCGAATTTCGACTACTGCAGGACCTCTAGTTTATATTAAAAAGGCTAATACGATAAAAAGTATGATTATTGGTAAATGACGTCTCAATGACGTCATTTACATTTACTATACCTGAGACCGGGTGATATTTGAGTGACGCATATAATAATATTAGTGGTTGACGATTTTGAGTTAGTCATAAAAAAAAATAGGTGTAGCCTTTTCGATAAAACCATATTTCATTTTGTAATGATTTGAAATTGCTGATAAGTAAAAAGTAGTGGGAACTTAAATGCAACCTATCACAATGTGGAACAGATTACATTTGAAATCATTGACCAACATTAGAAATGAAACGGCGTCTAGGGTAGTACCACACCCAGTTACAGTTAACCCATCAATCAGACCTTCGTGGTCTCGTTGGCATTCTGTCGTCCCCTTCACGATAGCTTGAAATCCTTATATGTCAAGTCTGGTTTTTATGTTGTTTCCCGGCGACCCAGATCGATTCCCGTGCACGGACCTGCAAGGTCAAATTCATCCTCTATAAAGAAGTATCTATCTTAATGTAATTCTTGTCTTACTTTAAACCCTACCTTTAGACTTTGAGAAATATTAATAGTTACCTTTACTATGTTTACTGCTATTTTAAGCACTCGAAGCTCTCAAATATGTTGTTTTATTCTTGAGTACCCAGCAGCAAATTAGTATGTAAAATGATAATAGATTTTTAAATGGTTCTTTTGGGTTAGTTCAGAGTATTCAATCTATATGTTTTCACGTATTTTACACATTCATGTATTGATGAAATTTTATGAGAGTTTGTGGATAATAGTGTAAGAGCAATCTATACAATTTTTATTTGGAATGTTAATGTTTGAGTTTGCGATTTAATTTTTTTGTTGCTCATTGCTTTACACACTTTTTCCTAATACTTTACCTTAGCCATGTTACTAGACTGCCAAAACAAGAATATTTTTTAACCGTGTGTATGTGTATATGTTTATTTTTTTTGGTGAGCTCTACAGCCGGCTTAGCCTTATAATAATGGATTTCATCACACACGGTAAATGTAGTCCTATTGTCTAGGGTAAATTTTAACAACACGGGATCCGCGAAAAAAGAGGAATAATCTATATATTAATACGTGAAGCAAAAACTTTGTATCCCTTTTTACGAAAATTGCGCGGACCGAGGAGTTTGAAATTTTCCACACTTATAGAGAATATAGAGAAGAAGTGCACAATGCTAATATTTTTTTTAAATAATGCATAAAAGATACATTAAATCAATAAAGAAAATATTACACATACTATATACCATGTATATCACGCACACACGCATGCATACTATTTATTGTCAATCTTTTGTTCTTGACGTCTGTCGTCAAATTGAGAGTAAATATTGTTTGTCTTTGTTAATATTTTTTATAGTGTAGTTTTGGCGAAATTTGTGATTATAGAAGTATAAAATACAATCATAATAGTTTACAAACTTACAATTCCAATTAATTATAGTCAAATTTCGACTACTGCGGGACCTCTAGTCAACATTAATTATTTGCAATAGAATTTGTCAAAAATATCTAGTTAGTATTAAGTTAGTATAATTAATGCAACTACTTGCTTGAACAACATAAATAATTCACGTGATAGCTTCCATTCTGCCAATATTGGTTCTATTCTTTAAATAACGCGTTGCTATTTGAACAACATCGAATAAGTTTACAATATCGTTCGTATGACCGACAGTTTACTAGTCTAGCTCGGAAGGTCGAACAATTTTAAATGCGGCTAATGTTTACAGTATGTGTTACTGAAATAATCTATCGATACTGTGAATGTGTTGAAGTATTCAAGTCTCCATTACGCATTCTGCAAAGGATTGCTAATATAATTCTAGTTTCGTAACAAAATATAATATTCTAATGCATTTTAAATACTATATTTCTATTCGATATTTTGACAGTAAATTCAAATGTCTTCACGTTTCACAAAATCAACCCGTTACAGTCTATTAACTGTATGTATGTTTTATAAGAAGACACTAGCGAATTCATTGAAGAGTATTAAATAAAACTAGAGGTCACGCAGTAGTCGAAATTCGACTATAATTAATTGGAATTGTAAGTTTGTACACTATTATGATTGTATTTTCAACGCGAAGACTACACTATAGAAAAATATTAATAAAGACAAACAATATTTAATCTATTCTCAATTTGACCAGAGACGTCAAGAACAAAAGTTTGACAATAAATAAATAGTATACATGCGTGTGTGTGTCAAATACATGGTAGTGTGTGTAATGTTTTCTTTATTGATTTATTGTATCTTTTATGCATTATTTTAAAAAATATTAGGATTGTGCACTTCTTTTCTATATTCTCTATAAGTGTGAAAAATTTCATACTCCTCCGTTCGCGCAATTTTCGTAAAAAGGGATACAAAGTTTTTGCTTCACGTATATTAATATATAGATATAATTTGAAGTCGTGGTGGCCTAAAAGATAAGACGCCCGGTGCATTCATATCGAGCGATGCAACTGTGCCAATGTTCGAATCTCGCGTACAATTACCAATTTTTTTTTAAATAAAATGCGTACTTAAAATTTGTTACGATTAACTTTCACGGTGAAGAAATAACATCTTGTAATAAAAATCTTAATGCAAAAAATGTAAATTCCGTAATTACTGGTTCTGTAACAACGTGTTTTATGTTCGCACGGGTTGTTGCGGAAACCCTTTATATTTCTGCCGGGAAGCAGTAATGCGTTGAGGTTTGAAGACTGGGGCAGCCATTGTATTACAAAAAATGAGATCTTGGGTGGCGGAATTTAGTTTGTTGATATCTATGGGCTCCGGAAACCACTTAACTTCAGATGGGTCGTGAATTTCACCATCCATTTAAGTGATTTTTTTGTAAAAAACGTTCTTCTTATGTTCATCAATTCAAACTATGATTTATCAATAAACTAAGGTGTTTATTTTTATAAGTGTACAGAAAATGAAGATTGGTGTTAATGGCGGACTTTTGAATGCTCATTAATGTATGTGTGTCACGCACCGCACACAATGAGGCTTTCTTTTGAGGTTTCCTCGTCGTTGATTGATGCGGCAACCGTTTGCGTTTTGTTAATTAGTTGTTAATGAAGGAATGTTGATAGAATCCAAGTGAATTATGTTGGATCGTTCTGATTATTTTTGATTTGTGGGTATTAATCGCGATCGGGATTTAAAAAGTTAATTGGTATTGGTAATTACTTGTTTAATGAGATCACAAATTAGCTTGAGCTTTATTTTTTTGAACACAACAGCTCGTTTGATCGGATAAATGTTATAATATTAATATAAAATATTTTGGTTTTATGATGCGCGTGTGAATTTCAAACGTAATTGATATGAGAGATGAATTGAGCTATTAAACGATTAACTTTATGAATAATCACAGATAACATAGTTTTATTATTGTAATACATATTTAGAAATAGGGGATTATTTTTATTTTTGGAACGAAGTTCCTTATGGGACGATGCGGAAGGTTACCTTAACCGGGAAAAAACGTCCGTAACATAAGATTTTTATTTCAATAAATAACACTAAATTTGTCTTTGTTCGCAGATGAAGATTCAGAGTCAGCCGGTACCAGTGCGGGAACAACGGTAGGAAAGGCTAAAACTGGCAGCACGCATATACACCTCTGGCAATTCTTGAAAGAGCTTCTAGCTTCGCCACACATACACGGGTCGGCGATACGATGGCTAGATAGAAGTAAGCATCTATATACTTTTTCTTATTCATTTTTATGTTTTTAATTGAGTTATCAAAGACGTAGTTTGCAGTCATTAGTAGATAAAGCGAACCCATAGACTCGGACCACTGAGTTTCTCGCCGAATCTTCTCAGTGGGTCGCGCTTCCGATCCGGTGGTAGATTCTGTGAAGAACTGCTCTTGCTAGGGCCAGTGTTAGCAACACACCCGGTTTGAGCCCCGTGAGCTCACCTACATGTCAAGGAGAAGCTGAAATAGCCTCTCAAGGCTATCAGCATAGGTAAGAAAAAAAGATAAAGCGCATTTTCCCAAGAATATTTATATTGAATGATTTATGGTTTTGTTTTAAAGGTTGTTAATATGCATTATTTTTGTTACATAATAAAATTGCTTGTACAGTATCAAGTTATTCTTTACTATTTATTATCTAATTTTGGTTATGAATATCCATTTCTAATAGGTTAGGTAGTTTGTGAATCGCTCGTAAGCAAACGATAAGAGTTAAAGGAAAATTTTCTTGTAGGTTACGTTAATATTACTTATCTTATTTCGAGACAGTTGACGATGCAGATATTTATAAACGTTACGTTCATTTCTTTTATTTTCAAATAGATAAGCTTATGACTCAGTATACTTACTCAGTATACTTGAAAATATAATTGGTAAATAAATGTCTGATGAAAATACTGAAAATCTTTTCGAGATGAATTTGATTCATTTCGAAATTGCCGTGTAAATGTATAAAATTTTGTAAAAAACTATCCATTAATAAATAACTATTATAAGATAAACACGGCATAAAACTGTTTATTTACTAAGTTTTTCTGCTGAGAGGAAATCGCGTTGTCCCTTACGATGGATAGGAAAGTCGATGGAAATTCAAACTTGTAATTATTATTACCTAACATATTTAATTTTATGGTTCGATCTAATTACATCGAAATTTCACAGTCGACTACCCACTGAAAACATATGGTATTCCGGTCGCAGTAACATACTAATATCGCTTAGATAATTATACAAAACTCATTAACAAGTCCACGATGTATTAAAACTTAGACGATCACGTCTTTCAAACAACAATACTGTTGTTGGCACGGTAAATAGGTCGAGTTAAAATAAAAATATCGATTCATTATACGTCAATAGAATCAACAGATTTATTTACTTGATTTTATTTATTCGGTGTATTAAATTGACGCGGGACCTAGTTTGTTATTAAACTAAATTAGAAAGATGAAATTTGAAACACATGAAATAGCTCAAATCACTGATACCCTAAATTTGTCAATTTATGAGACGAATATTGCATTTATAAATAACTGCTTATTTGAACAGATTTACTACTGAAGTCTCGATCCGAATTGGACCACTCGCTGAGATTAACGTTCACACAGATTAACAACAAAATTTCTCCCACGGTTTCCTTTTGAAAATTTATTCAATGACAAAATTAAAAATCATCAATCGTCTCACGTCAACATCAGTTATCAGTGATTTAAGCTTTTTTCGACAGTCTTTTTTGAGTACAAATAACGTAAGATTTTTGTTTAATTATTTATTATGTAACTCCAAAAAAAAACAACATACTGTTAATAAAAATAAATGCAAAGACACAGCTTGATAATTGTGAATAATATCTAAGATCGGACGGCGGGCAGAAGTATGATAGCTTAATAAAAATTACGAGCGTTTGAACGCATAAAGTTAAAATGGAAGCTTAAACACATACTCAGAAAATATCATGCTTTGAGTTTTATGTGCTAATTTTGAATTAAAAAATATATTCTACTAAATTTGTCAAAATAGTAATTTATATGGTATTACTAATGATATTTATCGCCAATTCACTGAAGTTTAATTTAAAATATTCATATAGCGCGTTCACTATAATAGTTGAACTGAGAATTCGTTTGTTCACATTCTCGTATCAAGGTGAGCTGGCCATTTACAAGTTCAGTTTGTACAACAACTCTAAAGGTTACTAAGGGAATAATTTGCTGTCATAAAACAAATTGATTTCGATTATAACAGAACGATATAATCCACATAAATAATCGTTAGGATCAATAACGTTTTTAAGAACAGATTAAAAAAAAAACAATTATTCGAATTCGATTTTTATATCGATTTTACTCAAATCAAAATACGTTTTATAGAATGACAACAAGAATAAAATCTATCCGACGTTTCAATACATTGACTATAGTGATCGATACTTAATAAGTCAATCGAAATAGTTGTAAACTCGATTGCAACATAGTAACGCCCTTATCTTGTCGTGACTGGCCTTTACAGATGTTGAATTACAAACAATTTATAGCCCATTATGTTGTAAGATATTACCGAGTCCTTTTTCGGTTGTCACGACATGATATTTTGAATGCCCTAGTCTGAACTGCGCGTAAAGCGGAGGCTAACCGCCTAATATTATTAGATAAATATTATGACACAAAGATTGTTTTGTATCGAGTTGAAATATTGTATTAACATCTTCTTGCGTACATATTCATTTTGTTTTCGCAGTTATTGTCTGGTTCGTATTAAAGATCAAAATTAATAATAAACTCGTTTTAAATAGCGTCAAGTTTCTCGAAGATTCGTTGAGACGCGCAGCTTTATTGCTTGTGACATTTGACATTTAATAATCATGACTCGCAAAGGTGTGTCGTTTGCATTCGTAATAGACACCTGAACCAGAGTTCTCGTTAGAGAATATGTGCTATAATAGGAAACTTTTCGACAAACAAACAAATTCTCAAATTAACAAATCCATTTAAGATTTACAATGCACGAGCGTAACCCGTCAGTTAATGAGTCAAACGACTTTTTAAGCACTCTTTAAATGTCAGATTTTTGAAAACGCAATGACCTCTTAAGTTATTTTAAAATATTCACAGTCTGATCGTTCTAAAAAAAAAAACACCAACTATCCTCTATAATGATTAATTCATGACGTACTCTCACAGGTAACGGTGTCTTCAAGATCGAAGATTCAGTACGCGTCGCGAGGCTCTGGGGCAAGAGAAAGAATAGGCCCGCGATGAACTACGACAAGTTATCGCGTAGCATCAGGCAGTACTACAAGAAGGGTATTATGAAGAAAACCGAGCGAAGTCAGAGGCTTGTCTACCAGTTCTGCCATCCGTACTGTTTGTGAAATACTCGGTAGTTTTTAATACGTAGTTTGTAATGTAAATAATTTATTTTGTAAATACGTGTGTGCGTGAGCCGCGGTAATGCGGACACTACGACGCTGGNCGACAAGTTGTCGCGTAGCATCAGGCAGTACTACAAGAAGGGTATTATGAAGAAAACCGAGCGAAGTCAGAGGCTTGTCTACCAGTTCTGCCATCCGTACTGTTTGTGAAATACTCGGTAGTTTTTAATACGTAGTTTGTAATGTAAATAATTTATTTTGTAAATACGTGTGTGCGTGAGCCGCGGTAATGCGGACACTACGACGCTGGCCGCGTTTTGCGACTAGGACGCAAAACGCCGCGCAGTCTTTGAGAATGACGATTGCCGAATTTTCACCGGTGGACGTTTCCTTAACCGGGAATTAATAGGAGTCGTGCACTAAGCCCTCCGCGAGATTCGGGAAAGGTAATTTTCTCTGGAATCTCAGCGGACGGGGATGTCTGTTGTGTTTTAATTTTAAGGTTTTTTTTACCGGCGACTAGACGTTCGCGATTAACTCATTTTGGGATACTCAATTACGATCGCTTACGTCGAAAGTCGGTAATGTTTATCCCATATATCTATGATATATTTCTAGTACGTTCTATGAACTTTTAGATAAGTAACCTGTAAATAGATGTTAAGTGTAATATTAGAAAATAAATTAAAAATAAGTGCCTTAATCTACGAGACTCATATTAATGTGATTTAAAGAGATTCGACAAATGTATATGATAGGTACTTATTTAATCAACACGAAATTAATTAGAAATAAAATAATAATTTATTATTAAAACGACGAGTTACGTCGGATTTAAATGCAATACTAAAAGTATAAGCGTGTTAACAAAAGTCAAGATGGCGGAATAGATGTGAAAACAAATTGGGTTGAATAAATTTATTAAATTTTGTGCCAAATAGATATTTAGAATTTATTCGGGACAAAATTGTTTATATTTTTATTGAAATGTGATAAAAAAATAATAATAATTAAGCCCGCCGATTGTAAATATTGTATTTGTCAATTAAAACATTTACTGTATAATTTGGTGCTGGGTTATTGTGTAAACCAAGTTTACTTAGTTAAACTTCAAATCGACGCAGTTAGCGTGCCGTTCGTGTTATGAACATTTTATAATTAATTAACTATTATCGGACCAAACTAATTTAGATCTAATCAATCGATGTATTACGTGAATAATAAAAACTTTATAAGTTTGTTTTTGTTTATTTTCAACGTGTACCAAATATGTGTGTCCCCTCCACGTTGTTTCCCGAGCACTATGACATGTACTTCTTAAAACGAGGCTTGTGGAGAGTATTTAATGGTAAGCAGCGGCTTGGCTCTGCCTCTGGGATTGCTGATGTCCATGGGCGACGGTAACCACTCGCCATCGGGTGGGCCGATGCTCATCCTACAAAAAGGGCAATAAAAAATGTACTGAAGCGTTTTCATAGATTAAAAGAGAAGAGATATGGTCCCCGAATATAGAGCCTCTTACTATTTAATTGAAAGAGCTTCGTGTGACTATACAACCTTTCATTTGAGTGACAAAAGTCGATTCGGAATCGGTATCAGAGATTAGTCACGGACCAACCAATAAAGGAGGTAGGTGACTAAAGTCGCTTAAAAGTATAAAAGTATGATATAAGTTTTGAAATGAAAAAAAAAAGCAGATTGCAAAACTCAAAGCCGTAAGTTTTCGAAGTCAATACAGTCATAAATGCAACTGTATGGTAAGTAGGTACAAACGAAAAAAAATTGTATGCAATTGTCATAGGCACATTGACCCCTTTCCTAAGCATAGTAAATTCTTTGTCCATAAATATTTTGCCTAGTACTAGAAATTAGTGGAGTCGTTGTCTTTGTTAAGTATTAGAAAAAAAATATTATGAAATTTTCTTCAATCACTCTCTTCCATTGAACGCATTTTCTGAAAGAAATAGCTATTACTATTAAATCTACCCATGGGAGCATAAAGTTAGTCATATAATTTTTTTAGAGATCTCCCAATGATAAAAATTCACTGATATCTTGCGATTGAGATTCACCATATATTATATTTTCTTAATAATTACTTTTATCAGCCAGTAAACCAAATAATATATAAAATTAGTTGACAAGCAGAGGAGAAACTCGGGTTCAGTTGTTTGGTCATTGATTATATATGTATCAAAACTGTAAGTAAAGTAAATTATGTATAAAATAAATAAAGTTGGAAATATTGATGTCGCCTTTATCATCGGATGACCCATGGATTCGACTATGTAGTGGTATAGAGGCACCATTCAAGTTATGATGCTTGAAGGCCCCGTTGGGTTGCCACTGATGTAGGGCATAATATTTATAAAAAACAAACAGAATGAGACAATGTAAATTCCTAACAAAAAACTTTCCGAAAACCTATTTCATCTTTATTCAAAACGTACCTATTCAAACTTGAACTTAACATAATCTTTTCAAAGGAAAAAAAAATATGCGTAAAATCTAGACTGTGTTGCGTCAAGTTGCGCAAAATTTGACGTCACTTCTCGCCAAGAACCAAATTCTTGGAGTGAAAGTGCCTTTCGCCTGATGGAGGGGAGGACGACCTTTAGAGGGGAAACGTGCGGGGAGAGGAGGGAGACCTTACAAAAATAACAATCGGTGCGTAATACCTACATAATAATATATTGAAGATTCGTTGTAGTTTATTTACACTTCATAAGCACGCTTCATTTAATTCAAATACTTGATACGTAACATATTTACTTATAAAAGACTGGTTTCAATTTAAAATGGAGATACACGATAAAATAATGCAATTAAGTAATTTGAGATTCCTCTCTCTTCACCTACCTATTTTGGCATGCGGGCTAAAATATCACACAAAGAGTATTTCTAAATTTAATCATGAAAATATCATTGGTGGAACACTGAGGGAAGCGCATTCTAAAATTGTTTAAAAAATTGACCTTCTACGGTTGCTACTATGTTGATAAATAGTGACTTTTAAAAAACTATGGAATTTAACGTAATCTTATCAATTAAATGGTTGGCCTCGTGAATATAAATCTTATGTTAATTCAACCTTGCATACCAACTGATATTCACAGATAAGATGATCGGATTCTGACTTATATCGGTCTATCTTTGATTCACTATTAAAAACATACGACTGACTTTAAAATTAAATATGGAAAAGAAATTTGCAAAGTTGAGCATGTCTTTATGTAAGATTGCCAATTTTATTTTGAAATAATTGCGTTAGGCTTTTTTCGTTATCGAACTTTTATCGGTATTAGAGCGTATTGTGGGTCTCCGCGGGTAGGTAGCCTTTTCCTGCATGTTTATATCCCGAAGCAGTCATGCGTTTTAGTTTGAAGGGCGGGGCGATTTGCAACTTCGCTGTCTGCCTCGCTTGGGAGGCGCAGCGCCGTGTCCTTGTCGCAAAGATAGGACCGGACTTGTCACTGCCTGGCGTCGTGGCGTCGATGCTTGGCGGCGACGAGTCCGGGAAGGCTATGTTCGACATCTGCGAGTACACCATCTTGCAGAAGGAGGCGGCGGGGCGAGTGAGGCAAAGCAGAAACGCAGAAATCCACCGTCGCCAAGCAGGAGGTCGGGACCGGGGTTCCATCCGTAACCCGGCCCCCTAAGAGCTTTGGGATCCACCCGCTTTATGCGGGGAGGGATCCAGGCGTGGGGCGGCGTGCTTTGCACGCTCGCCCGTAATAGGAATTGGTTTATTATTTTTAAAACAACATTACCGGTCGATTTCAGGAATGCAACAATACACATGTATTTAATAACATGTTTAATCATACATAATATGTTAATAAAGACAAACATTAAAATTTGTTAGGTACCTAATAGCCTAATAAAATACTACGTTAGACCTTTTGGTTTAAATTAAAAGAATTAGCGGGGCTTAGAATACAATGAACAGATGAAAGAGCTATCAACCAGGTTTCAGTTAGCCTTCTAAAATGTAGACAGTAGCATAATTCGCTTTTGACCACAGTCATCGTTGGTTTGTATCATTCCTGCCCACAGTGAAATTATTTAGGTACCGAACATATTTGGGCGAATATTATATTATTCAAAAGCAAGCATGGCTTACTGCTACATATAAACACGAACGGTACTCAGATCGAATTAAACTGGATTTGTTCAACATTTTTAGCATTCTGAAATGACTAATACATTTAAGCAAAATTAATATTATAAAGTAACTGATCCTTACGACGTATTTAAAATATATAAAACACGCTGATCTTTAGTAAATTACAAATTTATTAAGGCGTTGTCTGAAGGTCGGCAGCATTCCGAATTTCTGAGTCTAGTCAAAGTAACAGAGCGCGACTGGCACGGCCTGCCACCCATATCTATCTAACACAGCTGCGTGCCCACCGAATAAATTACATTTCGATGCATTAACCTAAGAAACACGTGTAAGAAAATAATAATTACTATGGCATATAATAATATGTATGTAAGCAAATTTGCGCTGGCCTTTTACGATTAAGGACCGAGGGACCAAATGTTGTTGTTCGGAACTTGTGTATATGCAGGCAAGGGAGATTCAGGCATCTGTCAAATATTTTGTGTTGTATGATGGCTACCCACCACCAATCTTACAGATGGGTGAAGAGCTTACAGTCCTCCCAGTCTTAGTGGTTGCTGGAGCCCAGCCCAGGGAGCTTCGTAACGAGAATACTGCCAGTCACCTTGAGACATGAGGTCTGTTTCAGTTTTACAGTACAACCGCTGCTCGCCCTTCAAACGGCCACACATTGTTGCCTCACGACAAAAATAGACAGGATGGTGGTACCTATCCGTGTCGACTCACAAGACGTTCTACCAACAGTAATTATGCAAATTATATTTTTGCAGGTTTGGTTTTTATTACACCATGTTTATTCCTTCGTCAAAAGAGTCATTCATGAGCATATATTATGTAGGTATTTTATTAGAAAAATTGGTACCCGGCTGAGGAATTTGAACACTGGCATTGTCACATCACTCGATACGAATGGACCGGGCGTTTTATCCATTGCGCTGCTATAAAATAGCAAAAAGATTAACCATCAAGTTGACCATATACTCGTTTGCCTACAATAGCAATTAACAAACCAGGTTGTGTACCACAACTATATAGTTTATTTAAGCATTCTCTAAGAGCCGGCTATGATAAAATGGATTTGAAGGTTTGGTATTTACTTCTTGTTTATTTTTTTGTCTATGAATTCTTATTTTAACTGCTGCGATAGAATTTTCTTTATTATGAAAATAAAAACCTTTTTTTTACCATTTTTTAAACCCCAAAAATTTTACATTGTTGTTTTCGCTGGCGTCAAATATAAAATAGTGGAAATGTTTTTGTGGTTCTTCTTTAGGAATTAGCTATTTGTTTTAGAGCCGTGAAGATGTTTGTTTCTATGGTAAAGATAAGCACGATGCAATCGACTACCCAGGCATGTGTTTATTTATTTTGTATTGCTCTTGTAGAAAGACAAGCGTACAACCCATATGATGGTGAGTGGTAACCGACGCTCATGGGCGTCAGCAAAGGGCACAGCCAAGCTACTGTATACTCTGCGGAAGTATTGTTTGAAGAAGGACATGTCATAGCACCTAGTAAGCACCGTGGAAGGCCATATCAAAGCCGGTAGGGGGTGAAAAATACCTTTGGGAACCCACTATGGATGAACGTAGTGTCCAGTGGCCGTAGGATTAGTTTCAATTAATTCTGCTCCTCTGGTACGCGGTGTGGTACTAAAAACAAGATGGCGCGGTTATTTCAAACATTTCTGGAAGAACTCCCATGGAGGAAACGAAGCTAAACACAGTAAGTTTTTTAAGTACGGTCATGACATTAGTATTCTAAAAACGTAACGTAATATCAACGCTAAACGCAGCGATTTCCAAGCTGTTCTTTTTTCAATGTGGAACGAAACGTTTTCTTCTCGTCTGTATGACGTCATAATGACGTCAAAGGAGTTGACATTTGACATTTGAATAGAGTTTCCGAACCGCCTTTGTTTTCAAAATTTGTAAAGTTATAGAAATATGTGTAAATAAACAATAAAAAATATTTTATAGTTTACACAGATATTCCAAATAACTATTTTTTTTTACGCAGTAGCTCCAGTGGTATCATGAAAGTTTGTTTCTTTCAGATAAGTAAAATGCCTACAAACTGAGATTGCGTGGGTTTACCTTTGTAATTCGCGAATAATGAAGCCGGGAAAGAGTTCTGATGAGAAGGAGGAAATAGTAGAAGTACACTCGAGTGCACGCTCACCCTCTCCTAAACACAAAAACAAACAGAGACAACGAAGCAGTTCTGGATCTAGAAAACTATCAAACGGTCACGCTATTGAACCTGAAAATACAGAAACGGTGGAAACACCAGAGAAGTCCAAGCGAGGTAGCTGGATTAAATCCGAACACGAATCTTTGGACACTGAGCTTCCTATACACGATCAAATCAAGCAGGATATTCTAGGCTTTGTCGAGAAGGAAATTAAGAAATCTGACAAGAATCCGTCGTTTGTATTTTATTCTCACGATCCAAATGGTTTGGATGAAAAGTTTCTGAAGTCACTGTCCCGTCCGTCAAGTGGACATAAGGAAAAACGTAGTCCATCATACAGGAAAAAAAAGAGACATTCCTCAAGGCATAGAGATCGCGATCTACATGATTTTGAAATACCAGGCTCCAGTCTAAGTGCATTGGAAAAGGTAATTATATTTTTTAGACATTCATCATTTAAAAACAAGCTTAAGGAACTACTAGCTAACTACTTTCAACATTTTACCAATATTTGTATAATAAGCTTAGTAACATGATTTTTTTAAATTTATTATGAAAAAACATGTAAGTGCCATTTTGGTATGTAAATTACATTTAAACTGTTCCCAAGAAGAACAGTTGAACAGCAATTTCATGCGACAAGCCAAACTTACAAAATTCTAGTAAACACTTAAATGGGTAAAATTAATATTGTCAGTCAAATTAGGTATATTCACTGAATATATTAAATAGAAAAAAGAACTTGTAGAGATTATAGTATAAAGAAAGTACTTGAATAATTTGACAATATCGGTTTATAATATTCATTCCTAATTTTGTTAGAATTTTTATCAAATAGTACAGTACAATATAATAAAAGTTTCAAGACGGGTGATGAATACAGGCTTCTGCACTCCACACTTGGTGATCACAGCTTGTTCACAAATATTTTACAGTAAAAAAAGTACCCATATGGTGTATCATCTTTCATATTTGAAAAAGTCCCAAGAAACGTACATTCCTAAATTTCATATTGGAATGTAATGCTATAGGATAGTTAGAACATTATTATAAGGAATGGAAACATATAACAAATGTGATTTTAGGTGGATGATTATTTAAAAGAGTACAATAAAGATGAAGTAGTAACACTCAGCGGTGAATTGGAAATTGAACATAATGATTTTGAGAACAATAACGGCACGTCAAAAGATATCCGCCACAAACCTCGCAAGACAAAAAGAAAATCTAGAGACGAGAGACGAGATACTAATGCTAATGGTAGAGATGTAAGCCCTAAGGTTTTCAAGACTGGCTCTAAGTCAAAACAGGGAAAGTCAGGTATGTTGTTTATTTATATTAAATGCAATGCACTTGGAAAAACTAATAGAGTCTAACTTCAAAACTGGGTCTGAACTCAGCTGTGTTTATTATGATGGAAACTAATACTTGATAAAATGAAACTTGTAAAAAGGAATATTTAAAAAAATAATCTAATATTTAAAAAAAAAGACATGTCAGTTGAGTTTCTTGCTAGTTCGTCTCAGGACGGAGGCTAGTTTGTAAATTGGCGGTAGCTCTTTTTGACGTTCAACAAGTGTGTACTTTCATTTATGTTGAATAAAAATTTGTTGATTTGATTTGATTTAATTTGATTTGATTTTGAATGTTTTTTCACTGGCAACTAGGTCTTTTTTATGATATTTTATTTTGTTATTGAACTTAAGCAGGTTAAATAAAACAATAAAATATAATTAAAATAACAACACCTTAGAGAACATGACTACCATAGAATTGACCATAGAAACGGCAATAATATGAAGCAAAAAAATTATTGGTTATTGAACTGAAATTAAATTTTAAATATTTGTCTTCAAAAATCCTGTCAAAATATGAAATAGAACTGATAGAGAAATCATAAAAAAATTGAACCATTATGCCGCGAGCAACTAGTACGGTATGGCATCGAGACAGCATGAACCAATTGCAATTTGATATGTACAATAGAGCTGAGACATTATGTTGCTGACGCTAATATGTATTATTATTAAATTTTACTTATTAGTTTGTTACTTAAAATATTTATAGTATTTGGTTATGTAAAATAGTAGGTTATATAAGGCCCCTTTATTCAATGTGCCCAGTATGCCTCCTTGGTCTTCCTTCATTGCTTCTTCAAGAGCTATCATCTAGATAGATGTCAAACTTTAAATAGATTCTACCATAAATACATAAATGACACAATGAAATTAACGATAAAATGATACAAACTTAAATGTTAAGAAAATATATTTTTTGATTGTCAGTGAGACCGACGGACTTGTCTGCAATGCTACAAACCCTGGAATCCAGCATACCATACCATGAAGATTACATTGACAATCCATTTTCATCACCGTCTCCAGTTACATCACCGAATGATGAAAGGCTAGATCGATTTGGAGCTCGTCGTACTGAGAAGATATATCTTCAAGGTGGAGGTACATTCACTGCTGTGTCAAGAGATAGAATATTACAGCCTCAACGATCTAGAGATGGTGATAAATACTTAAGGTATAGTAACAATGATGTAGTACATATATTATTATTTAATATATTTACATAGTCTCACAAGTTATAGGCGTTTAAAACAAGGATTAGACTAGGGTGTATCCCTATAGTCCGGTACTGTAGTAAACATACAGCATTCAGCATACCAATACCAGGGGTATACCAGTTTGTGTCTGTAGTAAACATATTGGTATGCCCCTTATATTACTAATATTGATAGTCGACGATAACCATTTACTAGTAAGTGGAATGCAAGCACATTCTTTTTTTTATTTTATTGCTTAGATGGGTGGACGAACACACAGCCCACCTGGTGCTAAGTGCTAACCACTTAACACCAGGTGGGCTGTGAGCTCGTCCAAACATCTAGGCAATAAAAAAAAAAGTGGTTTTTGAGCCCATAGACATCTACAACGCAAATGCGCCACCCACCTTGAGATATAAGTTCTAAGATCTCAAGTATAGTTACAACGGCTGTCCCACTCTTCAAACCGAAACCCATTACTGCTTCAAGGCAGAAACAGGCAGGTTGGTGGTACCTACCCGCGCGGACCTACAAGAGGTCCTACCACCAGTCATTACGCAAATTATAATTGTCATGCATGCTTATTCACCATCAAGGCTTGTTTCCTAATAATACAACACCAAATATGGTAACATTTCAGCTTAGCCGACCACACCCCACTAGATGTAGCCTTGATGCTTCAGAAAGCATGGAAGAGTTGTGCTGTGGCTTGTCACGGAGTACTCGGTGGATTGTCTTTGATGCATCTTCTCCTGATCGGCTATACTGATGGATTGGATGCTGGACATCTGTCCTTCCACTCCGTTGTAACAATGCCTTATGTCGCTGCATACTATTTCTTTTGCGTGTTGTGTCTTCTGTCTGTTTTGGATAGGTAAGTGTGGTTTGTATATATGAAATACTATTAAATATGCATAAAAATAATATATAATAAAAAAAGTGCGTAATTGAAATGTTTCGCATTTAAAGTTTTAAATTTGGGTTTCTTAAAGTCGTCGTGGCCTAAAGGATTAGAGTGCCGGTATACTTGTATGGAGTCATGCGACTATGCTCGTGTTCAAATCCCGCAGTATTTTTTTTTTTTTTCTAATGGAATACATATTTAACACATTTTCATGAATGATTTCCACGATGAAGGAATCGTGTAATAAAAACAAAACCCGTTAAAATTATAATTTTCGTAATCATTGGTGATTGGTTATGTTCTACGTCCTCACAGGTAGGTACCACCACCAAATCAAACAACTCTTGCTAATTCTGATTAAATCATCATGGTTGAAGACTTTCATATGGCTCACAGAATAGTCACCGCTGGTTTTTTTTTTGATATAATGAAACCTGTATAGTAAGCACACTATTGAAATGTCGATGAAATCCATCCCTTAAATAATGTAATATGTAAATGTGGAAAGGACCAAAGAAATCTCATGAATTTTTTGTCTCTCTTTTGTTTCACAGATTAGACATAGCAAGCTTGGATCTCAGTAGAGGTCTCCAACCCTACTTCCAGCCGATAGTTCTAGTCATACTATACATGGCCTGCCTACTGGTCTGCGCGGCTGCCAGGATGTACGATGAGCTGATGGTGTACCAGTACACGCCTCTGGTACACAACATCACCGGGAATCTTACCACAGTGAGTACTGGTATATTTTATTGTTAACATCACATCTGGTGTCGAATGCTAAGCGGCACCTGTGGACGTCACAACTTGATGACGTCATCGATCTTGAGNTTTCACAGATTAGACATAGCAAGCTTGGATCTCAGTAGAGGTCTCCAACCCTACTTCCAGCCGATAGTTCTAGTCATACTATACATGGCCTGCCTACTGGTCTGCGCGGCTGCCAGGATGTACGATGAGCTGATGGTGTACCAGTACACGCCTCTGGTACACAACATCACCGGGAATCTTACCACAGTGAGTACTGGTATATTTTATTGTTAACATCACATCTGGTGTCGAATGCTAAGCGGCACCTGTGGACGTCACAACTTGATGACGTCATCGATCTTGAGATTTCCACCCATAGAACTGGAACGCAAATTTGCGAAGTATATTATGCCTATATGAAGTATATAACTAAGATGGTGAGGGTTAACGGTTTCCTCCATGTTAATTTTTTTTTGGGTGAAACTCCAACGCTACTAAATATCTATTTGAGACGGTATTCAAGAGAATTCATGACTAAGCTACCCCTACTTTGTACTATAAATACAAATGACTATTTCCGCACAAAACATTGTGGCTCAAGCAGCCGAACGGAGTGGAGCTCTCTGTTGTTAATTTTATAAATTTTATCAATTTGTGGTTTTTGAAACTTGACTTACAAGAGGTCAGGTCCTACCACCAGTAATTACGCAAATTACAATTTTGCGGGTTTGATTTGATTTTTATTACATGATGTTATTCCTTCACCGTGGAAGTCAATCGTGAACATAAGTACGTACTTCATTAGAAAAATTAGGACCCGCCTGTGGGATTCGAACACCAGTGCAATCGTATGTAACGATTTGAAATACGTATTTCATTAGAAAAATTGGGACCCACCTGCGGGATTCAAACTCCGGTATATCGGACGTTAGAAAATATGTACTTTACTTAAAATATTTTTTTTTAATTCCAGCCAACCATACCGACCTTCTATCACACATGGACACACTTCTCCATATGGCGCGCGGTCCTGTCAGTCCTGGGGCTGGTCTACTTCGTGATATCCTCACCTGAGGACCTCGTCTACGCAAACATAAGCAAACTGTTACAGTTCAAACATTCGTTGCGCAGTATTGAATGATTCTTCGAGGGGTCAGGAGAGGTGAGCCGTGACGTCACATCTCCCGGGGTCAGGAGAGGTAAGCCGTGACGTCACACCTCCCTCAACATTCCATAGATTTGGATATTATTATTATATTAGATTAATGTTTTTTTTGTTTGTTAAAAACGTTACACTCATAGGCTATAAACAAATAATAACCCGAACAATTTTATGTTTTATCTTCATGATTCTGATCTGAAAATACTAAAGTTGACGACATCTTGATGTTGGTAAAGATTAGGTTGAAAGAGTCTGTTATATAGACAGACACAGATGAATTGAATAAAAGCGTGATAAAATAATTTTTGTTTTAGTTCATGATCATGTTTTTAAACAAATAGTTATCGATGCCTCCAATGAACACTACTCTAACTCAAAATTTTGAAATTTTCGTTTTTCACGCAAATAGCTTCACTATTTTAAAAGTATTACAAATCATTATTGATGGGGTTCGAAGCAAGAGTAAATCAGCTAGTTACACGAGACAAACCATAAATATATCTGCAATAATGAAGATTTTATCAACTTTTTTCGTTTAAAGCTCCTCCTGTAAACCTACGAATTTGGAGTTAACGTAGTGTTCATTGGAGGCATCGAAAAATTGTAGTCAAGTTGATGTTCCAAAAATAAAGCCAAAATGTTAAATCTAGTCAACGTAACCAAGTGATCTGAAATTTTCTGTTTTTTAAATTTAAAACTCTAAGCTAAGAAGTCTAAAAAGACAATACTTATCTAAACAATTAGGTATTAAAGTAATGTAGGTATTCATGCGTGTCAGTAAATGTGTGGGTAAATGTGAGTTTTACAAAAATAGGTCGATGAACTTCAATATCTTGCACTAATATCGTATTTTAGTTTTGAGGAACAGCAAGTAAATTGGTTTTCACTCAAAGAAAGGTGACAATTTAATTCTCAATTTCAATAATGGACTGTTTTTGATAAAAGTCAATGATTTTGTAGAATATAAATATGATTAAAATGTTTATTATTACGAATAACATATACCTACGATATTAAGATATATAAATAATAATATACGAATCATCGGATAAAATGAAATGAAACGAATGAAAATGAATATAAATGTAACATTAAACCGTAATAGTGTTAATGACCATCATAATGTTTCACATAATATAAATGAATAATTTTACAAAGCTAGTATAAGGCTTAAAAACAAGTTTTATTAAATTATACAATATTTATTTTCTTTGTACTTAGTATGCATGACACAATACTACATATTATTAATTGCTAGATAGTTACAAAATAATTTAAGTAATTCATTAGGTACATAATATAATATCTACAAATTAAAACTATATATTTTAAGAACTATTTAGTATTTATTAAAACACAAGGATGCGATAATACTAGATAATGTTATTCATGTGGCAAAAAAAAAAATCCATAAAACCATCACAAATGTAAATAAACTTATTATAGAAAATATGAACATAATCCCGAAAAAGTATATATTATTATAATGTATAATATTGTTATCATAAATTAATTATGTAATATAAATATTATTATATTCTACACAATGTAAAAGAAGCGTTTTAAAATTGATATAGTAGTGACTATATACGGGAAACAGAAAGCTAATACTTAAATGAACCCGCAAAGGAAACGGAGGCACACACCGTGTCGTTGACCCCGCGCGTCAGCTGATTTAAGTTGCATTGCATTGCGTGCAATTTTTTTTTATAAAACAAATATTTAGGCTCTTCTTTTTTTAAATGGTTTTTTTATTTTTTATTGCTTAGATGGTTGGACGAGTCCACAGCCCACTTGATGTTAAGTGGTTACTGGAGCCCATAGACATCTACAAAGTCAATGCGCCACCCACCTTGAGATATAAGTTCTAAGGTCTCAGTATAGTTACAACGGCTGCCCCGCCCTTCAAACCGAAACGCATTACTGCTTAACGGCAGAAATAGGCAAGGCGGTAGTACCTACCCGTCTGGACTCACAAGAGGTTCTACCACCAGTAATTACGCAAATTATAATTTTGCGGGTTTTGATTTTTATTACACGATGTTATATCTTCACCGTGGAAGTCAATCGTGAACATTTGTTAAGTACGTATTTCATTAGAAAAATTGGTACCCGCCTGCGGGATTCGAACATCGGTGCATCGCTAGATACTAAGTCTTATCCTTTAGGCCACGACGACTTCGAATGTCCATAATCACCGGCACTAGGTATCAACTGTCTTTGTATTCAGAAACATTTGCACACGACACGGTATTTTATTATGATAACCCTCTTTTTTCTCATAGAAATATGTTGAAATTCTAACTTCTTAAAATAAATCTAATAATAAAATTTATACAATTTTCGGGTTAGATTTATTTTACACGAATTCGTTCGTGAGCTCGTAGCTATAGAGAGTACGTATTTCCTTTGTTATTAAACGAATTGTATTTATTATGTCCCGTGCAAATATAATATACAAACTTTTTTTTTTTTTTTTTTTTCCCTAAGCTGATGTAGCTGTGTGAGGCCTAATTACGTAATCCCTAAGTTTGTAGGTAGCTTCACGGGGCTCAAACCTGGTTGCTAACACGAACCCTAGCAAGAGCCGTGCTTCGCAGAATCTACCACCGGATCGGAAACGCGACCCACTGAGAAGATCCGGCGAGAAACTCAGTGGGCTGTGTCTGGGAGTTAATTTACTCGTCGAGCCCTTCGTCGCAAGCGACGGGTTCGACGAGAACGGTGACCGGTGCTTGAAGTACCTAGAAGCACCGTTAGTGGATCGGGAGGATCCGAGATGACGTGTTTTGGGCGACGTCGACTGCTTTCCATTCTGTCCGCAGGATCGGGAATGTAGTTACCGGCGGCCACGATGAGAGGGTTCTCGTGTCGTGCCGCTTTATCGAAGTGGTGTTTTTCTTGACGTTCGCTAGGCGCTAGAGATTATTATTATGTTGCTTTAAAAGATTTGAGTTCTTTTCTTTTTTTGTTTATTTATAATACGATGAAGGTCTAAATAAATATGTTTCGTTTTGTACTTGTAAGTTATTGTAAACAATGTATGTCAAATGTTCCGAATAAAATGCATTTATGAATACATACTGCTTTTTTTTTTATATATGAGGTCGTCAGCGCAAATGTGGCCTACCACACAAATTTTTCATAATCATGCTTATAATTATGTATATTGCAATTTATTTAAAATATAATAAATTTTGAGGCAAAACCGGCCTATCCATAGTTTCACCCGACATACCTACATAACAGATGGCTTTTTAAACATTATTTTTGTGCGTATTGTTTTTTTTGCCTACTCAAATTCAAATTAATGAAAAATTAAACCTCATTGCTCCGTAATAACTATGGTAAGCTTAGGCCACTTTTGCACTGACGGCCGCATATGTAGGTATATCTTTTTTATATCATTCCAATTATTATGGAGTAGTCATCGCTATCAGCAATATTTTCGTTGACTACCGTAAGCCCTTTTTCAATTACTTAAAATAAATACGTATATTATATCTGAGTCGTCTATTATCAAAGGTGGCAATCTGTGCATTTGGACAAAAAATGTTATTAATATGTCAATGCAGATTGATTTGAATATACCTAATCGTCTCCTTCAAAGAATACGGTTCAAAACCTGCATTAAATAAAGTATTAACTTAACCTGTTATTTATCTAAGATGTCGTTCAGAAGAGTTTTGTGACTGCCAGTGGAATACAAAGTCAATAATTAGGTTTTCTGATTTACCAATAATTGTCCAAAAATCACATTGCCGGCTTTGATAATAGTCGACTCATCTATACTAATATTATAAAGCTGAAGAGTTTGTTTGAACGCGCTAATCTCAGGAACTAGTGGTCTGATTTGAAAAATTATTTCAGTCTTAGATAGCTCATTTATCTAGGAAGTCTATAGGCTATATAACATCACGCTAAGACTAATGAAGCGGAGCATAAATAATGTTTCAAAATCGGGTTTTTTTCCCATTTGAGAGCATCCTCTGCGTGCGCTGCGGAAACGGTTAAAGTTTCGCTAAAGTAATGTATGAGAGAATTGTTCCCCTTTAAAAGATCTAAAAAAAGTCTCCGACAGCTTATGCCTATATATTAAGGTTGGGTGGTAAGAGGCGGGTAAAATTTAGCGTTGTGCCAAAGTAACTATTCTACGCGGACGAAGTCGCGGGCAAAAACTAGTATTATATGATATCAGGTGAGATAAAAAGTGTACTTATTTAGTGTTCAACTGGTTTCCCCTCGCAGATTTGCCCGGGATAAAAATACATATTTTGATACCGATTTCCATAAAATTGATCGTGTGGTTTAGCGAGCTATTGAATGACTAGTGGATTTTTCTTAATTTTATATCCCAATTCTTTTATTAAGCAGCGAAAAAAAAAAAATGGTAAAGGGAAATGAAACAAAAGAGTTTAATTAATCACATTGAACTATATTTAATTAAAATGTCTCTCACAGCTGAATAGCAGCCGGAAATCAGAACGATGAAATAAATTATAAGTAGGCACCCGTTTTTCCACAACAAATACGAACTTAAGCTCGTTTTGTTCCATTTGTGTACTGTTTGTACAATAACTGGTATGAGTATACCGAGGGTCGAGAAGAAGATGGCTCCCACCAATCCAATAAGGAGTCCTAAGTCGGGTATAGCTATTGCCAGTACCACTGGAAGGATAAAACATATTTAAATTAGATATAGATTTTTAGACCACAAAATTGAGAGTTCTGTAGATTGATTACAAATCCCTCAGAGATTTCGACTTCGTATGTCAAGGAACTTTGGTAACTTTGAACTTTGCTAAGCACTTCTAATTATCTGGTTCAGACTTAAGATTCTTTGTCCACCTAGAGTCTCAGCGTAGAGAGAAAAAAATTAGAACAATTTAATAAATGTTTTAGGCACACTCAATTCCAGTTTTTTAATGAAAATCAATCATCAAAATTAAACAGCATGCGTAACGTCATTTAGTTTTAAACTGATGCTCTAAATGAGTCGAATGAATTCAATTACATAATTCTATTATTACTTGAATGAGTTTTAAACTTTGTTGGTTCATTCCATTCGCAATTCGAAATCAAGCACCTTTAATTGAATTGGTCAAGTTTAAAATTTCAATACGAATTTTAAGAGCTGTTTTGCATAGTGTTCGTTTGGATGACTAATTTTGTGTGAAACTCAGTTTGAAACTCGGTATTAATGTGGAAAGTTTAATTCAATCAAGCGTACTTCAACTTAATGTATCAAATTCAAGCTGTACATGTGGCTTCCAGAAACTAGTTGACACGTGTGTGCTTAGTGTGAGTTTTTTCACGTTCTCGATAGCGTAAAAGTTAACTCAAATTTGTATGCAGTTGGAACAGCACCCCTAGCGGCAAACGTAGGCATAGGTCCCAGAGTTAACTTTGACGGTATCGAAAACGTTAAAAACGCGCACTAACCACACCGATGGTTTGTCGGCTTAACCTTTCTAATGCAATTAAGAAGGGGCAAAGAAAACCTAAGGTATAAGGGCTCATTAGCCTAAAAATAAAACTTACCCGTCAAAACAACGCTAAGAGTCCTTAGTAGAATTTGGGCTGAATTGTGATAGCCGCTGCCAATATGAGGTTTCAGTCTAGTCCAAATAATATCCATAGGCGCGTACATTTGCAGGCAGTACGTGAAGAATACTGCTATAGCCACCAAGAATTTTGCTATTAACGCTAGTCTGAAATAATGATGGTATCAAACGATGGTATGTGGTGGTATGATCAAATAAACTTTTTATTTTGACTCTAAGTATATTGCATAAGCATAACGGAGAATTGCGATTTAAATCGTAAAATTTCAGAAGATCTGCTTGAAGTGCACTAGCGAATCATGGTGGCCTAAAGAATAAGAAGTCTGGTGCATTCGTATCGTATTACTATATTCTTTCCTCTGCCTATGCTGATAGCCTTGAGAGGACATAACAGCGTTACCCTAGCGTGTAGGTGAGCTCTTGGGGCTCAAACACCGAGGTGTTGCTAACACTGGCCCTAGCAAGAGCAGTGCTTCGCAGAATCTACCATCGGATCGGAAACGCGACCTACTGAAAAGATTCGGCGAGAAACTCAGTGGGCTGTGTCTGTGGGTTAATATGTGAGATACGGCATGTTGTAAATTCAGATGGGCGTATTGTTAAATACGCCCATATTGTTAAATACGCCCATATTGTTAAATACGCCCATCTGAACGTCGAATGTCGTTATTACCAAACCATCCGTAAAATAATCACTCTTTCCGATTTAAAGAGTGGGGCAGTATTTATATCGTAGAAAGCAGGCCTTTTGTCTCAAGGTTGGCGGCATTGACGATTTTTTTAATGCATAGATAGGCTTGGAACAATGACCTTTAGACGGTAACCACTTAACACTTGCTTGGCTTTGGTCTCATTCATTCATTTACGTAATTTTAATTTTATTACACTGTGATTATTTTTATTAACGCTACTCTGTCAACGGTATCATTAAAATTGTTCTGTTATCCTTACATTTCATCCTGCGGTAAATTTATGGTCACGCTTCCCATGACTTCATTCCCGTATTTAAGGTAGCCGAATATACCGACCACACCATACAATACTGCCACAAATATCATGGTGAAGTTCAATACACCAGGACAGCCGAGGAATTTCTCCGGTTTTGCCATTTCATTTTCCACCGGCATCACTACATTAATGCCTTCCATTGCAAATATCGCTGTACTGAAACAAGTTAAAACCTAATCACACTGCAATAATGCACTGAGCCTTTTTGCTTTCGTGATCTTTAAACTACAGAGTTATAAATACAATACCAATAAATAAACGGAAAAGATATATACATAGATGCCTGGCTGTCAACAGACGCCCAAGATGCCAATTCTTTCTGTCACTTATGGACACTAGCCATTGACAGAGTCGAACTACCTTTTTTTTGGGTCCCTCTACTAAGTGCGCGCGCAAGGTAACTTTTTTTATTGCTTAGATGGGTGGACGAGCTCACAGCCCACCCGGTTTTAAGTGGTTACTGGAGCCCATAGACATTTACAATGCAAATGCGCCACCCACCTTGAGATATAAGTTCTAAGGTCTCAGTATAGTTACAACGGCTGTTCCACCCTTCAAGCCGAAACGCATTACTGCTTCACGGCAGAAATGGGCGGGGTGGTGGTACCTACCCGTGCGGACTCACTTGATGTCCTATCACCAGTAACTGGGAATACGAAGGTATGGGATGCGACCCACTAAACAACCCCCTTGCACATCAAACTTCCGATCCTCACCCGAAATGGAGCCCGGGAGAGGTATGGGGTTACCGAGAGCTGAACTGCCTACCGTTAAAATTAGATTTTTGAAAGTGTATGACAAATTAAGGCTATTCGATAAACTCACCTCAAAAATAACGGCCATCTTGAAATATCAACGACTAACTTTGCTTCTGAAGGCGTAGGGATGTCATGGAAGGTGTAATAGCATGTTATGCCGAAAGTCACGATTAGACATAAATTGGAAAATAAAGAAAACGGAACAAGGAATTTGAGGTATCGTATTTGGGTAATTATGATCAACGGCAGAAGGAGAATGCAGCAGTAGATTTCAACAGATAAGATGTGTTGAGGAGTCAGGTGATCGAAGATCTGCGAAAAGAACTTAGAATTAGTTGATGACGGGTGGTTTTTTTTTTATTGCCTTTGTAGGCAGACGAGCATATGGCCCACCTGATGGTAAGTGGTCACCGTCGCTCATGGACGTCAGCAATGCCAGGGGCAGAGCCAAGCCGTTGCTTACCATAAAGTACTCTCTGCAAGCCTCGTTTGAAGAAGGACATGTCATAGCGCTCGGAAAACACCGTTCATTCCAAAGCCTTTGTTACCTCTGTCATACATGTGTCTCATTGAAGATGTTATAGGTTCTAAAATAAGCGTGCCGTATCGAAATAATCGATGTAAGGGCCGTCACTGTCACGGAGTGTGTTGCAAAATTTTCTCAGTAATAGGTATTGCATTATCTTGATTTTATTGAGCTATCCTTAAATGTTATTTAATTTGATGTGTCTTTGAATACGCGTAACTTATATTTATTTAATATTTTCTTATATTGTACAAATTCATTTGAAATTGTAATAGGTCTTAAATATTAAGTGTATTATCTATGGTAATAGGAATGGAAAGCAAGCCCTTTATGCATATCAGTTATTTTAAAAATAAAATTCTTGTCTAAGCTGTCTGAAAAATATCGGGTTTTAGCAGTAAATTATCAGTAAGGATCCATTTGTAGCTTTCGCAATTTATAAACGAATTAATATTTTCTAAACCTACACATTTATATTTATTTTATTTGTTAAACGCATTTCTAACTTATATTTGATTATTAATGTGAATTGCTTAAGTGATTTTAGACGTGATTTTATGCGGAAATGTCGTTAATAGTAGGTATAGATGACCTTGCACTAATTCACTTCACAATTACCATAAGACATGAGGTCTGGGTCAATGAAATGCCATCCTTCTGCCTCTCATACTCAAATACATTATTGCTGGAATGTCGTTATCTTATGCTTATTAGATTTGAAAATATATTGTGAGGTTTTATATTTGATTATACTATAATCTTACGTCTTTTAATGAAGATGCTATAAATATAACATACACACTGGTCCCGCCGAGACAGACTCCAGCCATTGCAGCATCCACGAAATATCTGAAAAAACAAAGTCACAAAGAAACATGGTCATGTGTAATTAGAGAAAATTGGTTTGGGTGTTATTTAAAAAGGCTTGAAAGGTTGTATAATAACTTTTTGTGGACTATATATAGGTGGATGCCTTAGTAGATGAATTGTCGTATCATAGCAGTATCGTATCGTATCGTAGTGCAATCATGCAAGTATCGCAATACCGTATTGTATTTATATATGTATATCATATGTATATGGAACAGCGACCTATTATGGATGGATGAACTAGCTGACGGCCTGTCCACTAGTCACCGGTATCCTTAGATATAACACCGTTAATTCGGTCACGTACTTTGAAACATGAGCTCTAAGTGTCAGTTTTTTTTGTACAACGGCTGCCCCACCCTTCAAACCGAAACACATTACTGCTTCATGGTAGAAACAGGCAGGATAGTGCGGACTTACACCTTACCACTAGTAAATAGCCCTAACCCCAGTGATATAATATACCTTACATAACCAAAAGAGGCGGGAAGATACACCGCTGTAAGTAACCAACGCTAGTCACCTTTGGGTAAAGACATTTGACCGACGGAGTTGTCAACAAAAAAAACTACGTCAGTCATCTCCAGCGGCAGCCCACGCTGATCCACTGGCAATCCAGGACACTGAACCAGAGCTAGCTTGTCGCGATATACATTTAACGATGAACAATTAACGCGATACATTGTCAACCGATCCGTTATTATCATAAGCTTTGGAACATGTGGAGAGAACCCCGCCAGTTGCTCCTAAGTGGAAAGCTGAGAGAGGCTGCGTCCTTCCAGATCGTGGTACCCACCCGTGTCTACTCAGCATCAGCCATGATAATTAAATGTTTTTAGATTGTTATCAGGTTTAAAATGACTATAATCACAATTTTCATTGCTATTAATCTAAATCAAACGCTCTTACCTTACATGCAGGGAATAGGGCCGTAATTTTCTAGGTCCTATTTTGAAGACAGTCTCACAAGTGTCTGTGTAACTTAAAGATGGTGTTTTCGTCGCTTTGCACACATCTCTGGATGTTGAAACCTAAAAAGAAGATGTAAGAAAAAACTCGCAATAATGAAATTATTCGTGGTTTAATTGGTATAGCGTGTGGAGTAGTAAAAAACAAATATTCTTACTAATAACTGACGTGCTTTACTTTGATCGCAACAAAATTAGTATTAATAAGATTTATTTGTATTTTTTTTTAGTTTAGAACATTTTTTCACTGCATTGATGAGCGAAAGAGTAACTAACTGTATACCGAAGTCCATAGACACCAACAACTGATTCGTGGCAAAAATAGATAGGATAATTGTGCCTACCCATGCGGGCTTATGCGACACTACCAGTAACTATGGGGAATAAAGTATTTTTATAACGGCCAAAAGATTTTCTTTTCCTACCTATGCTGATAGCCTTGAAATACTATTTCAGCTTCTCCTTGACGTGTAGGTGAGCTCAAAGGGCTCAAGCCGGGAGTGTTGCTAACACTAGCCCCAGCAAGAACAGTGCTCCGCAGAATCTACCACCGGATCGGAAACGCGACCCACTGAGAAGATCCGGCGAGAAACTTAGTGGGCTATGTCTATGGGTTAATTCACTTGCGACGAAGGGCTCGACGATGACGGTGACCGGTGCTCGTGGTACCTAAAAGCACCGTTAATGGATTGGGAGGATCCGTAATGACGTGCGGCCAAAAGTGTTTTCGTGATGTTAAAAAAGACCAAAAATACAATATTTCTTAAGCACTGAAATTCGAATACCTTATTTAACGAACTATATATAAAATAAATAAGGATACTCCGGATAAGTTTGAAGCAAACAAGCGCAGCTGAAGTATGTGGATGCAAACCACATAAATTTCTCACAAAGGAATTATTTTCTTTACGAAGTAAGTCACGTTGTCAAGAATGTTTTTGATGCGACATCACCTCAGGTATTTACATTTAAAACACGTATTAAACATGTTAAATTAAACGCTCGACGCGCCGGTCACCGTCGTTGTTGAACTCGTCGATTACAACGAAAAGTTCGACGAGTGGACTAACCCATAGACACAGCCCACTGAGTTTCTCGCCGGATCTTCTCAGTAGGTGGCGATTCCGATCCGGTGGTAGATTCTGCGAAGCACTGCTCTTTCTAGGGCTAGTGTTGGCATATTCTCTCAGGTTGAGTCCGTGAGCTCACCTATTCGTCCGGGCGTAGCTGAAATAGCTTATTAGGCTGCCAGCAAAAAAAACGAATGACCTTCGACGGCGCTGGGCTAGGATTCTATCCTATGTTATGGTGCACAGACATACCAAACAACACAAACATAACCAACTCGTGAATTTCTTCATTAAACATCTAAGCCTTCCTAAGAAGAATATGAAATTGGGTCGAACAGTTTTTCGCGAAAATAGATAATACCTTGTAAAATTATCTACACTTATCAACACAATACACTTTTTTCACCTTACCCGAAATTAGGCCTAATCAAATAATTGTATTGTAAAGACTAAAACTGCGTATTGTAAAGACTAGAACGCGTGCGTTGCGATTCTCGATCCCCATTAAATTGATCAGACCCTTGGAAGGAAGGGTGATTGTGGAGCTCTTAGAAGCAACCAACCACGTCCCTGACCTAGCCTGTGTACTGCTAACCGACGATTAAGCCTCACGCCACAAAAATAGAATAGAATATCATAAAGGTGATCAGAAAGAAAACTGCGCAAAACGTTTTTTTATCGTATGTGAAAAACATTATAAAATTTAATTATCAATAAACAAAATCGGACTAAAATAATAAGCAAAATCGTTATATAAATGGTATGGAAACATTGGTTAGCGGAAACTTACAAGGATATGTACACAGTGCGTGGCTATAACAGCCACTACGACAGTTCCTATAGACCCAGGAATGAGACCTATGTTCTTAAACGCCATAGGCATCGCTAAGATACCTGATCCCAACGAAGATTTCAGTAGGTGAAAGAAAGCTCCGATGGTTCTGAAAAATGAAATCATTATTATTGCGATTATTTGACAATTCAACATTTAAGTCGGAGAACGAATTTTTTGCGTTTGGCATTTTGAAATCTGCTGAATTGCCTTTTATAGTATTCGTTGAGCCAAAAGTCACTAGCTTAGAAATATTTACGTAAGAATTCGCCTCAAAACGAATCGATACTGACGTTATTGAGATGATTGTTTACATATTACTTAAGTAAAACGCCCACTACACCTAAAACGAAAATTTGGACACAAAGAGTCATCAAATAAGTCTTTAAATCACTTAATTCTTGCTATTGCCAAACAAATGTATTTACGCGTAGCTTTCACATTTCAAATAAGGTTATCGAAAAATAAATTGCGAATTGGCGTCATAGGTAGGTAGTTGAAGAATGTTAAATACATATCGACGCTTGAAAGGCAAACGTGACTGAGCGACAATAACTGCTTTGTACATAAATGATAGGCAATAACAATATTCGATGCGCAAAAAATTTATATTTCTAGGTCTATTAAAATCATTTAAATCCTACAGCTAGATTCGTTAAAATAGAATTTTTTTCAGGTATTTCACATTTAAATTAATCTATTGTAAAGTTCACGCATTGTCGCTTAGTCACGTTTGCCTTTCAAGCGTCGATATAATGTTAAACAAGTAAAGAAATAAAGAAGAGAAAAGTAAAGAATAGTGGGTATTAAGATGCAGCTTAAGGCCTAAACACGGCAAGACACCGCTTAATTTATTATAATATTTATTATTATGGTATACACATGACGTACCTACTTAAGATTTCATACGCACAAAAGCCAAACCTTGGTTTTGTTGTAAGATAAGTGTTTTATTTATATTTCATAAATCCGGTTCGTTTTAAAGCATATAATATGGGCAACAACAACGCGAGGCCTACTACAACCCGAGGCCTACTACTACGCGAGGCCTACTTCAGCGCGGGGCCTACTACTACGCGAGGCCTACTACTACGCGAGGCCTACTACTACGCGAGGCCTACTACTACGCGAGGCCTACTACTACGCGAGGCCTACTACTACGCAAGGCCTACTTCAGCGCGGGGCCTACTACAACGCGAGGCCTACTCTAACGCAAGGCCTACTGCAACGCGATGCCTATTACAACGCGAGGCTTATTATAACGTCTAAGGTTTCAGTAGACTATTAGTTCTAGCACGAACGCTGTGGGTACTCTATGATAAATATTGCTTCATGTAGGCATAGCTGAGTTTTAACAGTAGCATGGTGCAAAATAGTAAATCATGGATATAAGAAGAGGGAGGAAGAGAAAGCCGATCCGGTGGTAGATTCTGTGAAGCACTGCTCTTGCTAGGGCCAGTTTTAGTAACATACCCGGTTTGAGCCCCGTGAGCTCACTTACTAGCTCGGCGAATCTAGAATAACCCCTCAAGGCTACTAGAATAAGCAGGAAAAAAAAAAACGTTACTTCAGTTCTATTTGAGCTTGAGCTACCGAGGTGATAGCTTGGACAGGCGATATCCTAGCGAAATGCTTAACCGTCAACTTGCTTTGTGACTGTGTGCACCTTGAGTGGTTACTAACTATAATTTTTTATTAAGTTTATTGAACGAAATGTATAAAAAAATGATATCTGGTGGAAAGAAACGAAAAGTAGATAGGTACAGAGGATCGCCAGTTTCAAGAAAAATTGACTGAAAATTTCTTTTTGATCTTGCACAATGGTAGGCCAATTTTTTTTTTTTTTATTGCCTTTGTAGGCAGACGAGCGTACGGCCCACCTGATGGTAAGCGGTTACCGTCGCCCATGGACTTCAGCAATGCCAGGAGCAGAGCCAAGCCGCTGCCTACTGCAACTATTTGTTCGTTGTGTAATGAATCCATTTCAATAATGAAAGAATTCAATATAGAGAGGCATTACTCAACTATAAAACAAAAATCATGTTCAATGTCCATGTTAAGCCCACCCCAGTAACTGTTGGGAACTCTACTCTTGAAGTTGTAGACGAATACCAGGGAATACCTGGGACAGGCAGTCCGATTAGGTAAGTCCAACTTCGAGAGAGAGGTCAGTAGGCGGATCCAACTCGGCTGGGCAGCGTTCGGTAAATTAAAAAATGTGTTGTCGTCCAAAATCCCTCAGTGCCTTAAGACAAAGGTATACAACCAATGTGTGCTACCAGTGATGACTTACGGTTCCGAGACGTGGTGCTTCACAAGGGATTTTTTTAGGAAGCTCAGTGTCGCGCAGCGAGCTATGGAGAGGGCTATGCTTGGTATTCCTCTACGGGACCGAATCAGAAATGAGGAGATCCGTAGAAGAACCAAAGTTACTGGCATAGCCCGTAGGATTAGCACGCTGAAGCGGCAGTGGGCAGGCCACATAGCGCGAAGATCGGATGGCCGATGGGGCGGAAAGATCCTCGAGTGGAGACCACGTACTGGCAAGCGCAGTGTAGGACGGCCACCTACGAGATGGACCGACGACCTGGTAAGAACCGCTGGGTCACGTTGGATGCAGGTGGCAACGGACCGGCCGCACTGGAGATCACTTGGAGAGGCCTATGTTCAGCAGTAGACAATGGACAGGCTGAGATGATGATGATGATTACTCAACTAATCATGCTACGCTGAACTCACTGACAGGACAATTAAGAACAGACAAAATCAAGAAGCCTACCACAAATTTGGAAAAACAGCAACAAATGTTTCTTAAAAAAGGAACACAACTTGGTAATGTTGTGAAAGCTAGTTTTATAGTTAGCCCAAAATTGGCAAAGGCATTAAAACCATTTGCCGAAGGAGAATTTATCAAGGAGTGTATGATAGAAGTTTGCAATATCTTGTGTTTGTCGTATTATTTCATGTCTAATATCTACGTCTATCTTTTAAATGCATTAAGTACTTTTAAACGCGGCCCGTGAACGTATTTGCACGCTAAAGTTTGGCCCTCAACATGTCAAAGATTGCCCATACCTGCTTTAAAGCGTAGCTAGAAGAAATATAAACAGTAATCGAATATGTCGGTCGCGTACTTTTTGTGTGATGTTTTAATAAATCTATACTTAATATTATAAAGAGGAAAGATTTGTTTGTTTGTTTGTTTCGAATAGGCTCCGAAACTACTGGACCGATTTGAAAAATTCTTTTTCCATTAGAAGCCGACATTGTCCCTGATGAACATAGGCTACTTTTTTTAATTTTTTTTTTTTTTTTTTTTTTGTTTTCATGTCTGTTTTAATGTTTCCGAAGCGAAGCGAGGGCGGGTCGCTAGTAGATAAATAAACATAAGAACAACGGGAGAAAAATATAGGTTATACGCAGCCAGTTTCATACCAGCATAATCTCAACTTTAACTCTTGAATAATCTTCAATACTCTCAACAATAAATGGTTGATTATATTTTCATTGAACTTACACTTGTCCGAATATAGTTAGCTAGATTTAGTTGATAAATTGCGAATCATTACCCAGAATGTACTCACGATGTCTTGTGTTCTAACGTCCTGTGTTCAAAAGGATTGTAGTCATTTTCCACAACAGCGTCTTTTCTGTCGAGCGTGATCGTTGACTGGGTTTTTGATGGCATGTCCTCATTGCTGCCGCTGACACTGCAAACCAAGTACTTTCAGTAACAACTTTAATTGGTTCATTAACTGATGGCTTATTAAAATAATTAGCTAGGCTTCGCCAATCGCCTGTATCCCTGATATCAGCAATGTCAGGGGTATAGGCGCACTAAGCAAATAAATAGTAAATATAATATATATGTAGTTTAAAAAAATACGTCTTAGAGGTCCAGAAATTTCGTAAAGGAGATGTTATTACAAACTTGAAACGTATGAAGAAGAAAATATCTTGAAAACGCATGGTACCCACATGAAATGATTCACTGATATCTCTTATACTAGGTAATATCTACTCAATAGCTCGCTTAATACCTCTTAATTAAGGAATCAATTTAACAAATTTTATAACAATTCTCATATTGCTATTGTCATTAAAATCTACCCATTTTAACAACAACTATCAACATCAGTGTTTTCATGATTGTAAATAAGATGAAGATCGTACCTTGGATATGAATACGTTCCAAGGTACTCGACTGATATATCGTTGCTATCTAATTCTTACACATAGATTAGATTTATGTTAACATTTTAAGCTGCATTCCGTGATTTTTAACCTATTTTATCTTTGAGTGGTCCTATTTGCGTCGATATTCCGATGTCGGCGGATCTGCGATCAGATGACCACTTTCTCTTTTATGATCCTTTTTTATCCATGTCCATTGGACAGACTATTGGTGTATTTACATAAGTCATTCGTTTCTTGAAGAATTCTCAATGAGCTGTATTAGTGCACTCAAATTGACCGGCAATGGAAGTTAATTAGCTGATTGTTTCGTCTCAATAGATGTGTGTCAGGGCAAATGTATATTGCAGTTTTTATTAGTAGGTGCTCCATGTTTCTTTGTTCTTTAATATATTGGCTGAGAATTAGATATTTTTTTTCCCTACCTAAGCTGGTAGCCTAGAGAGGCTATTCCAGCGTAACCGTAACTAGTAGGTGAGCTCACGGGGCTCAAACCTGACGACTATGCTAACACGAACCCTAGCAAGAGTCGTGCTTCGCAGAATCTACCACCGGATCGGAAACGCGACCCACTGAGAAGATCCGGCGAGAAACTCAGTGGGCTGTGTCTGAGAGTTAATTTACTCGTCGAGCTCTTCGTCGCAAGTGACAGGTTCGACGAGAATGGTGACCGGTGCTTGAAGTACCTAGAAGCACCGTTAGTGGATCGGGAGGATCCGAGATGACGTGTTTTAGGCGACGTCGACTGCTTTCCATTCTTTCCGCAGGATCGGGAATGTATGAGAATTAGAGTAGAGTAGGTACTGTATTGAGTATGCTTTGATAAAAAATAAATATTAAAAAAAAAAGAACAGATAAATATCAATATATTGTATATTATGCTCGTATAGCATAAGCTCTTTATCCGTGTTTTCATTGTTCATGGATTAAAAAACTGCGATCCAGTTCCTATATTCGCGGCTAAGGATTGTTTTTATTAGCGGACCTAATCGGTAGATACATCAATACATACGCATTGATAAAAAAGATTCCAATGTGCAGGTATCCAACTGAATATCCTTTGTAAACGCGTCGTCAGATGAACTAATAATAAAGTAAACTATGCCTAAAATATGTTGTTCAATTATATCACCGTTGTATTGGTTTCAGCTTAAACACAAGCCACCTAAGTGCCAAGCAAGAAAAAAATACAAAATTCTAAGCTTGAAAATAATAATAAATCAACATGGTAAAAAACTTCAATTAAATTTTTTTTTTTATATAGGGTGTTTTTTTATTTTGTCACCTTGTTTTACTGTTGTTCATTATTTGTGGTGCTCCAATAAATTTCAATAAATTCTACTAGGGGTGTCACGCGCTACATTTCAGAAAACAGATAATGGAAGCTCCTCTTAGGTTGGATAAATTGTTTCTAAAAAGAGGGGGTGCGGGGGGTCGTGCGTTTGAATAAATAGACAGACACAATCGGTACACCTATTTATTATACTTAGTCTTTTTGTAAACACTCTTAAAAGGAATGCTTTTCTCTATTATATGAGCTTAAGAGCATATTCTTATCTGAAGGGTAGGCAACGCACTGGCGTAAACGCTGGTGACCGTGGGCGGCGGTGAATCACTTACCATCAGGTGACCCGTCTTGCTCGTTTGCCTATTAGTTGTTATAAAAAAAAAAAAAAGTTTATTACTGAATTGTACATTAATTTGTAAATTAATAAGCAAACTATACGATTCAATATACGAAGCTCATTCAATACGGTCTCCATTGCCCTTAATTGGTCATTGGCCTTTAATTGTCGTCACCAGCTACCACCGATTGAAATATTCTGTGTGAGAAAATTTGTCAATTTTATGGGATGCTTTATATAAATCGCGTTACTGACGCATTTAAAGCATAATATTATTTCTGAAATATACCTTAAAATATAATTAAGGGGTTTAACATCAGCACTTGAGGGCTTCCAGTATTCTTCAGCTCAGATGCAAACAAGAAAGTTCCTTTCCAAGCGCATTTTTGTGGAACAATCTCTGTGCAGAAACTAAGTCACACACACACACTAAATCTAACACATTTGAAATGGGAATTAAGGATAAGGAAATACAGGCTTTTTTATTGATTTTATTTTTTATTTTATTTATTTATGGATGACCGAGTTCCCGGCTCACCTACTGTTAGCCGGTTGTCGGAGCCTATAGACCACAACGTGAATGCCGCCCTTGATCTTGAGATGTTAGGTCTAAATCTCAATTAAAATTTATAACGGCTGTTTCCCTATTCAGAACGGAACGCATGACTACTTGTTACAAAAACAGGCAGAGTGTTAGAGCAAACCGTCCGGGCTTACAATATACAACTCGACCAAGCTAAGTTTGCACCTCGCATCGAATACGTCACAGTGCCGCATAGGTATGGTCTGAAAAAAGGATTCGCTATGACTTTAAAAATGTAAACAAATGTTTGTTAGATTTTACTTTGCATTTATTGTTTTTAACAATATATTATACATAGGTGTATTAGAATAAAGCGATATCGGGTTTTTGTATTAAGACCACCTAGACGTTCTTGAACTTCTTAAATTTGTATCCCAATTGCTCAGTAATAATTTTCCTTTATGTTTCTTTTTCAGGATTATGTTTCTCCCTTCACTGTGTATCACCTTTCCTTTCATTTTGTTGCCCACAACAATCCTCTCGAAGTAAAAAAAATTAACGTTAAGCGTTCAGTAACAACAGTTGAATAAAAACTTAACAAAAATAGTCCAATAATATAACTAAACTTCAAAATTCAACGGATAGGGAGACGAAAACTCGTATGACGCGTGGCGGCGACAAAGATGCTAACCGTACTGACGCGACAGGGCGATCGCGGGAAGGTGAGCGGGGAAGCGGGCGGGGCGCCGCACTCCAGCGAGGTGTAAACATAGCTTGGACGAGTTTTTGTACCTTACTAGCAGAAAATTCATTGCATTTATTAATTTTATTTTTGCATTGCATGCAATCATTAATTTTTCACGTTCATGCCCTAAACTTTTAGGATTCCCAAATCCTAAAATGAGATAAAGCGAATGGATTTTTCTTCGAATCACGAAATTAATCAGATCTGGGATGCTCTTACAGAAGAAAATATTTCTTTTATTTTTATTTTTTTATTGCTTACATGAGTGGACGAGCTCACAGCCCACCTGATGTTAAGTGGTTACTGGAGCCCATAGACATCTACAACGTAAATGCGCCACCACCATTCTCCTTCTCAGTCTGGAAGAGATTAGTTATAGAGGTAAAAACGCTCATTTTTTTTTGCCGTAATAGGCAGATGAGCATACGGCCCACCTGGTTTTAGGTGATTACCGTCGCTCATGACGTCAGCAATGTAAGGGACGCAGGGAAATCGTTGCCTATCATTACTTTTATGTGACAATGTTTTCATATAAAAACAATAAAAGACAAAACTTTTATGTATTTTATTGTTTGGACGCGTAGCGAAGTACATTATTATGCACAATAATGTATGTGTTGCTTACCTTGAAATCTAATTGAACGTAAGTATATTGACAACCTTGACTTAAATTACCTCACTCTTTTTTTTTTAAATCTTATGAAAGCATTTGTCTGCAGAATTGATTCCGCTTTCAGATAATTGGAACTAATTTACTTTTAGACTGTTTATTGGAGTCTCTCTTTATTGTGCTTCTTCTTTACTGATCATGACTGTGCTGCTTAATTAGCACGAATATACGTCATTGTCATATTCAAAAAGCTGTTTTATTTTTATTTTTTTATTGCTTAGATGGGTGGACGAGCTCACAGCCCACCTGATGTTAAGTGGTTACTGGAGCCCATAGACATCTACAACGTAATGCGCCACCCACCTTGAGATATAAGTTGTAAGGTCTCAGTATAGTTACAACGGCTGCCCCACCCTTCAAACCGAAACGCATTACTGCTTCACGGCAGAAATAGGCAGGGCGGTGGTACCTACCTGCGCGGACTCACTACAGGTCCTACCACCAGTAATTACGCAAATTATAATTTTGCGGGTTTCACTTTTATTACACGATGTTATTCCTTCACCGTGGAAGTCAATCGTGAACATTTGTTGAGTACGTATTTCATTAGAAAAATTGGTACCCGCCTGCGGGATTCGAACACCGGTGCATCGCTTCAACACTATTGCACCGGACGTCTTATCTTTTAGGCCANCCAGTAATTACGCAAATTATAATTTTGCGGGTTTCACTTTTATTACACGATGTTATTCCTTCACCGTGGAAGTCAATCGTGAACATTTGTTGAGTACGTATTTCATTAGAAAAATTGGTACCCGCCTGCGGGATTCGAACACCGGTGCATCGCTTCAACACTATTGCACCGGACGTCTTATCTTTTAGGCCACGACGACTTCACTTAGGCCACGACGACTTCTGATGTGCTGATGTGTTGTATGTTAATTAGAAAAGTTCTGTTGTTTTATCAATTCTTTATTTTATCGCTATCGGCAAAAAGAGGGACGCCCAGTTTCTCTCCGGATCTTCTCAGTGGGTCGCGATTCCGATCCATTAGTAGATGCATTAGCGAAGCAGCTGCCCCTTAGTCCCTAAATACTTGCTGTTAATAGTTTTCGTAATACAGGTAAAACACATCAATTCAACATATTATACCAAATTAAATTAAATATGAAAATTTCTTATCTGATGTAATTACAATTACATTTGCCCTGGCTTTTCATTTACAGTTATTAATTGGTGTAGCATTGTAGACAGAATCGGTGGCGAGAACAAAATGATTTACTTATTGTGTTTCCAAAGGACATGGGCCACTCTCCATACATTGCACGGCCCACTAAACGAAGTTCAAGGACAGTAATGAAATCAAGTTTAAATAACAGTCTATATATCCCTTTTATTATAAACAAATTAAAATCAATATTGTTCATGGGGATACAGAGATATTTAAAAAATAAGATAAGATTTTTAGGTTACCTATATCATATGATTTGCTGTCAATACACTTACAATTCAATTACAATACACTTACAATTCAATACAATTACAATACAATCAAATTTAGATTAAAATCGCACTACCTTGCACAATAATATGGCTCTTACAAATATAACTGTGCAAGTTGCTACTTTTTTTTATTTAATTGCATATTTTTAGTATTTATTTGTATTTAATCGTATGTAAGTCTATCTTATATTGTATTTATTTTTCACATGTGTATTTATGTATATATTTTTATGTAAGTTTATTATGATATAGCACCGTCCAGTCCACTTATTCCTCTCCCTGCAAGGTTGCCTGGAAGAGATCGCTTTCAGCGATAAGGCCGCCAATTTATGTCACCGACTATTATTTGTTTTATTTGCTCACTCTGTACATATGGTGTTAAATAAAGTGTTATTATTATTATTATTATTACACTTTAACATCATCGTCAGCTTAAATATTATTTATTTTACTATACTTTATAACACAGACCTAATTCAATGAACGCCAAGACTTAATTTTATGCATAACAAAATATAATAAGCAGGCATATCGCAACGAAACACTTATTAATATCCACAATGCGCACGAGTGCGAAAACGACTGATCAAATGTAAAACGTAAATAAACATTAAACAAGCGTAGTTTTGTTTTTGCTTATGATCAATAATTATTGATCAATGTAATGATTTATTCTACGGATTTAAAAGTATAAAAATAGATTTTTGTTTAGATATAATGTTTAATATATTTTGCTAGTTTTTTGCTATAGAGTGTCTTTTTTAAGAAGATTTAATGTGAATTGTTTAAAGTATAAATATATTCTACCTATGGCAACTCCTTCAATATTATCAAAGTAGCTTAGTCAGACTAATTTCTTTTTATTTATGAGTTTAATTACCCCACCATTAAAATACCCTTAAATTTTATAATAAGTATGTAAAAATGAAATGTTTTTTGCAATAGATATTTCATTCGTGTCCTTGAGAGCACTAGTAGCTGGGCCAAAGATGGCCCATGTCCTTTCTTGTCGGTTATTGATCGGTTACAGTTCTTGGCACATCCGGATAAACAAGGACCTGGAGAGGCTTTTTGGTTAGCCAAATATTCTGGGGGAGATGAAGGCACGGAGGCTCGAATGGGTCGGGTATGTAGTGCGTATGGAGCAGGATCGGGCTGTGAAACGGCTGTACGCGGATGTACCGGAGGGACGCTGCCTCGTAGGGAGGCTCAAATACCGCTGGTCTGACGCTGTGCAAGGAAATTTACATGATCTCCAAGTGTCGGACTGGCAAGATGTTGCGCAGCGCCGGGATGAATGACAACGTTTATTGTAGGAGGCCAAGACCCACTTCGGGGTCATAGCGCCAGCGCAGTAAGTAAGTATTTCAAAATTTCGTGCAAACTTTCTATGTTCAGGATATATAAGGACGGTAGGACCTCTTATGAGTCCGCGCGGGTAGGTACCACCACCCCGCCTAATTCTGCCGTGAAGCAGTAATGCGTTTCGGTTTGATGGGTGGTGTAGCCGTTGTAACTATACTGAGACCTTAGAACTTATTTCTCAAGGTGGGTGGCGCATTTACGTTGTAGATGTCTATGGGCTTCAGTAGCCACTTAACATCAGGTGGGCTGTGAGTTCGTCCACCCATCTAATGAATAAAAAAATAAATATAAAAAAATAAAAAAGGACTAACTCTTACAAGCCATTTTGTGTTATTGACAAGTACAACCTAAAAAAACCTTATCTTTTTTAATTTTAATTCAATACGAATGAACGCAATTAGTAAGAATAATATTCATATAAAACAACCTACAAAATTGTTAATTAATTGAGTCGTCATTTCTTATTATTTCGTTCCGCACTTAAATAACATAAGCGAAAGCGGTTTTATTGAGTTAATCCTTCACTTGTTGAGTTTGGATAAGACATTATTACATTTTAATTACCGTTTGTGGGTTTCCGTCGGGCACCGGCTAAAAGCTATTTCAAAGTGTTATTGCATGTGCTACAAATCGAGTTTTCTAATAGCCTGTCTAATTAAGGTTTTAAGGTGAAATGTTATTTTAATGTGTGTCTTCTTAATTAGCTATTTAAATTATCGGCGGTTTTTGACATTTTGTGTTAAGTAGCACTGGATTCCATTTTTTTCCTACCTATGCTGATAGCCTTGAGAGGCTATTTCAGCTTCGCCCTAACATGCAGGTGAGGTCACGGGGCTCAACCGGAGAGTTGCTAACACTGACCCTAGCAAGAGCAGTGCTTCGCAGAATCTACCACCGGATCGGAAACGCGACCCACTGAGAAGATCCGGCGAGAAACTCAGTGGACTGTGTCTGTGTGGGAGGATTCCATAAATGCGTCGAAATGATACCGTTAAGTAGAGTAAGGTTGTCGTAAATGGCATCGCCCGCGTTGAGCGAAGCGCCTGCCCTTTTTTTAGACTGGAATAGTACTTATTCTAGTCTGAATTGTAGTATCTTACTTTGTTTGTGATTTAAACAACATTCGATTTACTGTACATTACATAAAATGTACGCTAGTGTAGTGGTCGGTAAACTTATTAACCAAAGAGCCAGGGGGAGGGTGATGGGAGAGATGTGCTCCGCACTAAACGCTTCACTTTCCCCCCTTTGCCTGTCTCATGCGAGGTTTGGACGTTGGTTGTTGAGCGACAGGAGGTTTTAGTCAGTTCGACTCTGACATGCTCCGCCCTCCATCCCTAGTGGAGGGCGGAAGTCCGGCGATTTCCTTCTGACCAAAAAAAAAGCCAAAGAGCCAAATATGCAAATTAAAACGATTTAAAAAAATTGAGAGCCAAATCTGTTTGTAAATGTAGTAAACATTTATCATAATTTTAGAGATTCATTAAATTATGATGAAATGTTATTACAAAATTTACAGCCATTTTTAAATAAACTCATATAAAAATCAATTTTCAACAATATATTACACATTGTTTGTGTTAACATTGCATAAGAATTATTTAATATCAAAAAGATATGTTTTTCTTGAAATAATACATTTACATTATTGCAAATCATAAAATAAATGCTATATTGTATACTGCTTCGATTAATATATAATATATGTCGTGGATAACGACTTTTAGTTGTCGTGGATAACGACTTTTAGTAATATTAAGACGGTGGTTTTGATTATTATTTTAAATGATGAAATGTTGTTTTGATAAATATCACAAAATGAAGGGTAGACTCCGTAACGCCACAGTATAAAATGGCGGTACGTGGACAGAGTCGTGGCATTCGTGTCAGACAGTGATTCCGNGTAGACTCCGTAACGCCACAGTATAAAATGGCGGTACGTGGACAGAGTCGTGGCATTCGTGTCAGACAGTGATTCCGTCCGTCTCAGCAGTGAGTCTCTGACAGTCAGTCAGTCAGTCAGTCGGTCTGTCGGTATGTGCAACGAAACTGTCGGTTTATCCTGTCATTGTGAAAGTTGTGTGTGTTGAGTTTCAATAATTATTATTCAAAAGGTTTTATTGACTTTTTATAAACTGTGTTCAACCAAATACGAGTGACGACGGAAACTACCGCTCAGCCATCCCATGGCTTGCGCTGACATATATAATAATCGACATCAGTCAGGGGTGCTGATATTAAATGAACATACATACTATTAACCGGCTTTTTTATCCACAGATGAATAACATTAACTATACTTACTAACGTAACTTAACGTAACGTAACTTACGTAACTATACTTGAGACCTTAGAACTTATATCTCAAGGTGAGTAGCGCATTTACGTCGTAAATGTCTATGGGCTCCAGTAAGCACTTCACACCAGGTGGGCTTTGAGCTCTTCCAACCATCTAAGCAATAAAAAATAAATACATCATACATAAATTTAACGTTGATTTACTTCTACTACTACTGGTGGTAGGACCTCTTGTGAGTCCACGCACTTTATCTGGTGGGTGGTGGTACCTACCTAGGTGCTTAATTTATTATTTAATTGCTTCAAGACGATGCTGGCAAGAGATGGACTCGTCTAAGAGGTTTCTTAACGTATCTTTTCCACTGAAGGACTTTTTCTTAAACTTATATAAACACCGTCACAGCTGAAGCGATCGCGTGAGATCAAGGCCGAGAGAACAAGATTATTTTTTGTTCATACACACGTAGGTATATCTTCTTTTTGTCCGTATATTCCCAGGTGGCATAGTTAGGAGAACGCGTTTGGTATGTAAGCTGGGTTATATGTATACGCACCCGACTATTCTAATTATTACTATATTGAAAAAAAAAATAGAATAAGAATACCACCGGACGAATGATGAGAAGGAGTGGAGGTGAATAAATAGATAGATCATTTAAACAAATATAAAATAACATAAAAAAAAACAAACCTAAAATTTTCCGAAATCATTTTAAATGATTTCTCAGCCGTATATTGTAATCACAATACACTAGAAACTCACTCATAAAATTAAAACGTTTGAGTCGTATTTGCAATGAATGAATAACACATTTTACGTACTTAAACACGTTCTGCTCTCTAACAATTTTGAGACGAGACTGCCATTATCTGTAGAACGCAATCCTAATAGTGTAATAGGGTGACCATGCGCGTACCCATTTTAAAACGACACATAATATCCATTTTTAATTTTTCATTCAAGTTTTTTTTTATTAATAAAAAATTCAAGAATTTTTCATTAAAACAATAACCGACATGCTAAATTAGGTGGTAGTCTAATTTAATAATAAAATAAAATGTTATTTAATAACATAATAATAATAAAATGTTCTTCATATTTAACTAGAGATAGGGTAAAAATAAAGAGTTATGTTTGTGAAAGTCATTCATTGCGTATAATAAAATATTTTTACCATCTGCTGTAAAAAAAAACACAGATGTAAAACAATATAGAATAATAATTATATTAATGTGTTCTGTATGTGGCCTTTTAGACAGTTAATCAAAAATAATTCAAGAATTTTCTATTGTTTTCGTACGTCGTAGACATGTTTAAAAACCCGTACTAAGCACACATGCATCTGTATTTATTTCCGGCTAGTATTTCCAAACAATTTACTTCAAGAATGCTTAATCTTTAAGAAATAAAATTTATATAAATGCTAGATAAAAAAAGATGCGTGGTGTCGTGGGACACCGGATACGAACGAAGTTCCTTATTATAAAAATATTAATTTTAAGTTCTATTCGAGGTATAAAGAAAATAATTATTCGAGTATACATTTTTTATTGATTTTTTTATTGATAAAAAAAAAAAAAAACTACTTTACAAAGTTATCAACTTTATTTTATTCACAATGATTTATAAAAAATATATAATAAAAAAATATGTTATTTTTTGTACGTTATTACAGAGTTAAGTCGTACACTGTGTGCATTAATAATAAAAATCTTACATTACGGACGTTTTTCCCGGTTAGGGAACCCCTGTGCATCGTCCCATGAGGAACTTCGTTCACGATCTGTTTCCTATACGAACTACTAAAACTTATTTATCTGATGGAATGGTGGGACAGCTGTTGTACAATACAGCTGTGACTTCGGTCTTGTGTCTCAAGGTGGATAGCATCATTCAACAATAATACAGGTAGACAGCGAGATCGTACCTTAATATCAGCAAAAAACAATTCTAGAACTTTCAGAATTTTTCCATTAGAACAAAAATGTCCGTCACGAATTTTGCGTGACACGTCTGCAATAAAATCAGCCCTTGGAAGAAACTTTTAAATTACATAGTAAGATGTTTCACTTTGTTTTATGGCCTGTGTCTGTTAGATTTGATTGGTATTTTGCGACGAATTTTTCATCATAACGAGAGCTCTTGCATTTTTTATTGTTATTATATTAACGGACGTGATATTCGTCTATAAGAAACGTCAGAAATAATTTAGATACAATAAAAACCGCAAGACTAAACCATAAAAGTCGTTCTAATTATGTTCACGTCTCGTGAAAACCGAAGAAAATACTTTAATGTATCATCATTACCTGTATTCATAATTTGCATTATAATACGCCTAGTAATTAATAATGAAACTAAATGGCTAGCAACGTAAATGCTAAACATATATTAAATTATTAATTTTTTTCCGTCTACACGTGTACATTTCCAGTACTTATCGATACCATTTTACAAATGTATTTACATATATGTATTTCAAAACCTTTTCGTCCTCATTTCATATGCAGGGTATTAAAGGATAGCTCCCGGAACGGGAATAAATTAATCAACAGCTTAGAGACATTAGAAGTTCTGTAAACTAACCAAAAATATTACTGGTATTTAGTAAGTTTATATTTTGTGAGCCCGGTACATAATGCAAAAGGCTACTCGTTCTGTCGAGGACTAAGGTTCCATGCCCAAGTCATTTTAACGTATTATTTACAGAAAAATCTTTACTAAAGCATATGTATTTTGGAACTTGTTTTAGTGGTATTGTGTCACGAATAACCAAGACTAAAGTCATAGCTGTCATAGTCTAATCTGCCATAAGAAGACTAATCTTATCAAAGAATAAATAAATAAAACCCAGAGAAGCCTATTGACATTTACAAGATAATTAGGCCACGACGACATCGTGTAATAAAAATCGAACCTGCAAAATTATAATTTGCGTAATTACTGATGGTAAGACCTCTTGTGAGTCCGCGTGGGTAGGTACCACCTCCCTGCCTATTCCTGCCGTGAAGTAGTAATGCGTTTCGGTTTGAAGGGTGGGGCAGCCGTGGTAACTATATTTGAGGCCTTGAACTTATATCTCAAGGTGGGGGGCGCATTTACGTTGTAGATGTCTATGAGCTCCAGTAACCACTTAACATAAGGTGGGCTGTGAGATTGTTCCGAATAACATTTGCACTGTCGTCGGTCTGTTTAGTAACCTCACCTGCATCATCTACTCGGTGGAAGATCTTCTCTTCGTAATTGTCACTATAAGTACCGTTTTCGTTTTAAGGAACATTTTTCATACACCCGATATATGAGGCATTCGAGAGACAAGGCCATTGAGGTCTTGATTTTATTCAAAATAATTTATTTTTGAATCAACGTAAAAATTTTAGGGAAATCCTCGTAATATTTTAGAAATCATGGTCACTGCAATAAACATTTTACGTCGGCACTACACTGGATTTTCTAGTTTTCAATCGCATCTGTTTTGCACGATAAGTTGCGAACGGTTAATGAATGTACTGAACTAATAATTTCGATTCACATTGGTTTAGTACGTCTGAGTGTGTAACGGGAAATACGCATTTACGTGGAGCGAGGATTAGCGAGATTTGAGCGGTAAATTAGGCCAAAAACCAGTGAAGTAACAGGTGCTACTACAGGCATTACTGGTGTTAAGACGTTTTGTGAATCCGCCCTGATAGATACCACCACCCTGCCTATTTCTGCCGTGAAGTAATGCGTTTCGGTTTGACGGGTGAGGCAGCCGTTGTAACTATACTGAGACCTTAGAACTCATATGTCAAGGTGGCATTTACGTTGTAGATGTCTATAGGGCTCCAGTAACCACTTAACACCAGGTGGGCCGTGAGCTCGTCCACCCACCTAAGCAATAAAAAAATGTATTTTTGTATATGTATATGACAATTGATATATAAGACGGCGCAACGAAATAATTCATTGACTTATGAGATAGTATATACTCACTTTGACATAATGACATGATTTATCACCGACCGCTGCGGAGAAGGACACAGATCATAATATTATGTTTATAGAGTGCGCACGCGTCCATATATTCTGATGGAATATTAAATCTAATAAAAGTCGGAGAATCATTATGTGCTATTAGATTTGTGAATTGATTATCATTAAATTAAATAAGCGGATGTCGATTATTGTATAAAGTTCCCTTAATTATTGATCGGCCTCATTAAACTACCCACCTAATTATGGACAACTCAGGAAATTATACTAACGGTACAGTTATATGGTGTGCCCCTATAGTTATAGTTATATATATATACTTACAATAATAAATATATAATAAATAATAGCTTTGACTGGTGGTAGGACCTTGACTAGTGGTAGGACCTTATGAGTGGTGGAAGTACCCTGTTCTGAGTCCGCACGGTACCACCATCCCGCCTATTTTCTGCCGTGAAGCAGTAATTCGTTTCGGTTTGAAGGGTGGGGCAGCCGTTGTAACTATACTGAAATCTTAGAACTTATCTCAAGGTGGGTGGCGCACTTACGTTGTAGATGTCTATGGGCTCCAGTAACAATTTAACACCAGGTGGGTGTGAGCTCGTCCTCCCATCTAAGCAATAAAATATATATACGAGTGAATTTAGATGTCGTTCTTGGTGACTTCTTAACTATGATGTCTGTCATCTTTTAATTACTTCTCATCGGAGAAGCTCAGAGGATTGTTTGTTGATAATAAATTAACCGGCTTTTCATCAGAGGCTATAGTTATGCGACCTCGGCAGTCTCCATTTATTTCTTCTAAATTTCCTTACCGCAACTGTAGTTTCAATGTATTTTCTTCAACTTCTTTCTGCCTGCCAAATACTTCCAACATTCCGTCTCTTATTACGCTGTTTGTCACCCATTTTAAACTCGAAGTCGCAATTTTATTTTATAACGATTGTCTCACCAACAGTACCGGAATGCATGAATGCTTCGCGCGATAAATAGGCAAAGAGAGGCTTACAATACTAACAGTCGATGTCAATTGACATTCGCAGTACATTTGTATCTTCTACTTACCCTTATATCACATTATGTGGGATCGGCGCAGCATATTTTTATTTTTATTTTTTTATTGCTTAGATGGGTGGACGAGCTCACAGCGCACCTAGTGTTAAGTGGTTACTGGAGCCCATAGACATCTACAACGTAAATGCGCCACCCACCTTGAGATATAAGTTCCAAGGGTCTCAGTATAGTTACAACGGCTGCCCCACCCTTCAAACCGAAACGCATTAGTCTTTCACGGCAGAAATAGGCAGGCTGGTGGTACCTATCCGCGCGGACTCACAACTGGTCCTATCCCCGGTGAAATTTTTTATTTTTTTTATATTTTAATTTTATTTATTATTATTTTTTTATCATGCTATATAGTCATGCCTATGCAAGTGTAGTGTTAGCTCACTCGGCCCGCACTAACTTGAAACCCTTTCAAGTCATTTAATCTCGTTTTTGCAGGATAGCCGTCAGAGCACCATGGTTCCTGAGGAATGCGGAATCTCCATGATGACCTGGAGTTTGACTCTATCAGTAAGTATATTATACAGTCGGCATAGCTGCGTCACTTTGAAAAGGCGGCACGACACAAAAACGATCTTGTCGTGGCCGCCAGGAATTACATACCCGATCCTGTGGACCGGGTGGTAAGCAGTCGACGTCGCCCTAAACTCGTCATTACGGATCCTGCCGATCCATTAACGGTCCTTTTAGGTACCTCAAGCACCGGTCACCGTGCTCGCCGAACTCATAGGCCCCGTGAGGTCCGTTTAACAAGGACGGAGTATTTTGAAGCAACAAAAGTCTCAAATGAAAAAAAATACAAATTGTAAAATAAATATATTTAATACTTTTTTCTTTCTTAACCTAAAAATTAGCGTTATGTCATTGATTTAAATCTCTTTTTGAACAATGATTAACTGCAACAACGTCTTCTGTTAAGCAGTTCTTAGGTAAATAAAAACTAAAATTAATCTTTGAAATAGAACACAAGCAAAAATTAGAATTATGATTAAACTTATGGGGTATAATTAGTAGTCTAGAAAATCACAGGTTCTCAAGCATAGATTTAATAGCAAAAGTCACTCCTGAGACCATTGCGATTATCGCGAACAGGCATATTGCAAGGTTTTTCCATACGATCCAATGAGTTGGACCAATGTCCCTACCCCATCTCCAGATAATTTCAATGACGGACGGTAAGAGCAGTCCCAAAACAGAGAGGCAGACAGCACCGACCAACTCCATGAAGAGCTCCAACTTTGGCACCGCGCAGGCCAAGCCGACTGGAAAAGAGAAAAGTTTATATATACTAGCTGACCCGGCAAACGTTGTTTTGCCATATATAAGATTTCTAGGGAATTTCTAGTTTATAAAAAATAAATAAATAACAAAACCTCATTCAACCACATAACGCCACATTATACCAAAAAAAATTCCAAAAAATTACAAATAAATGTTAGGGGTGGACAATCCTTATCACCTAGGGGTATGAAAAATAGATAGTAGCCGATTCTCAGATCTACTGAACATGCATATAAAATTTCATAAAAATCTGTCAAGCCGTTTCAGAGGAGTATGATAACTAATATTGTGACACGAGAATTTTATATATAAGATAAGCGTGTATTGTAAATCGTTAAATGTGTAACATTAAATACTGCCTATGGTTAATAGGATATTATTGTGACGAACCTTGTTAGCGGCATATCTCAGCAATGTTGGTATCGCTGGGCTGTGATTAACTCTATTCCTATATTTTTCCCTTTCAACTTTACCATCACGATAAAAGCGAAACAAGTGTGTTATATCTTGGTCATATCTTAATTGTTGTTATTTTAGCACAACTAGATGTATAAGATTATTATTTTAATATCGTTGGAAAACCAAACTGTAAGTTTATAGAATCCAACTCTTTCTACTGGGTACTATGTACATCTTTGTCATAATGATTATATAAATGCTAAGACGGCCATTAGAAATGATCATAATGGATTTGATAATAAGTTATTGAAGATAGTTCAAACTAGAGCAGACGGTGAGCATGAATCGCATAATAATAGATGGTCGTAGAATTAAGAAAGTCGTGATCTATCTTAGTAAAGTTCCGTCGCCACGTCGTTATAACTTTAACAACAAGCTCAGGGCTTTCAAGTCTTAATTGAAGGTATAGGAAACTGTGACAGTACGTTCGACTGAGCGAAAGAAAAGTTTATGCTTCAATTTTGGTTTTATCTTCTTATTAGAAATATTATAATATTAGTCTGTTTGGAATTTGTGGGAAATAGAAGTGTATTTACATTAAATTCAATTGTCTTAAATGGCCAAACTATGTCCCTCGTTTAAACGATTCACAGAGACTGAAAATTAGATTAGGCCTGATAGATTTTTCTCAAAAGAAACTGAAAAGGAAAGTTGTGCTTTGGCCTAAGACGTGTAGATATGGAAAATATCGGGTATTTTAATAATAATTATCATGCAATAAAATGATCTCTAATTGAAATATACTTTTGTTGCGAGTGAGTTATGAAGTTCTCTATCTGATTATAAAGAATCAGTGATGGTCACACTTTTTTGAACTTAGAAGTGTACATCTTACTAAATATAGACTTTAAAAACTTTGTAAGGCGTGAGTGAGTGAGTAGGTATCACATTGCTTCTGATATCTATTCACTTTACGGGTAGTAAAGCTGAGAGAAAGACAATCTAAAGACATTTTTTTGTTATCTGAGTTCGGTCACCTTAAAAAGCTAGATCTCGCATATTTAGACTCAAGATAGTCGTTTAAACAAAGCCCTTCCTTTATTACCTGCTAAGGGTGATTGTGTGGAGCGGAAAATATTGTAGGCAATTTTTCTTATTTATTTTATTAAATAGAAACGTTTTTTTTTCTTCTTGAAAGTTCTTTGTTGTTACGCTGTGTTATTACAGGATAATCTCTAATTGAAATGGGTGCGAAACTGGATTCTTTTGTAGAAAAAGTTTGTAGCAATTCATCAAATATTAATTGAAAGTCAAGAGTCAATTGTGTTTGAAGAGATTGAAATATTCATGAACAAAGAAATGCTTCAAATGAAAATACAGCTTTTATCTATATCAAAGACCGTTAAGGTCGTAGCTTTTATCTGGGTAAAGCTTTGTTTTAGCAGCAGTAGACAACTATTGCAGTTTTTTTTTGCCCTTGTTGGCAGACGAGCTGGCCGTATCCACCTGATGGTGAGTGGTTACCGTTGTCCACGGACTTCAGCAATGCCAGGGGTAGACCGCTGCCTACCGTTATGTATGGTACGTAGCAAAACAGATCTCTGGAAACGCACTATGGATGAAGGCAGTAGCTCCAAATAGTATGGATGACCTGTACTCCTGTGGCGGGCGGTGCGATGGTAAAAACGAGATGATGGAATCATTTCAAATAATTCCGCAGGTGGTCAACAACGGCGAGTTTTTGTGATATCGCCTTAGTTCTTGCGGGATGAAATACAAGAAGTTTTAATGCACATAACATTATACAAATTTTATTACATATACTTTAAAACTTTTATCGTAATCAAAACTTTACGGAACTCGTGTTCGAAATTGAGTTCCTAAAACCTTAGGAGCTAATGAGAAATTTATCGAATTTTAAAACAAATTTAATATTTCGAAGATGTTGGAACGATGTGGCTTAACTCGACTTGCGGTTAGAGCTTATTGATCCTGGAAGGAGACGCTCGACTTTTGTGATTCCACCGTATTGCGGAAGGGCGGAAGAAAGTATTTACTATTTATTATACTAAAAAGGGGTAAGAATGAAACTACATAATAATATATGCTTGACGTCAAAAATATCCTCGCAACGCGTTTTTTAAAATTCTAATTATAAGGACATAATATCCTTAAATGTAGACACGGTTTTCTATTTCTCTAACAAATCAGTAAATCGTTCTGGTTTTAAGAGTATTCACGCTTTGCTCTTTTTTAATTCCAGTAACTACATAGATAGATGGGATGTGATGTAACGTGCACTTCTATAGAAATTAATACATTTTCCTTAGCCCACCGATGTCCACTGCTGGCCATAGACTTCTCGCAAACCTCATCATAAGGTCCGAACTTGCACTGCCTGCATTCAGCGGATTCCCATGACCTCAAACAGGTCATCCGTCCACCTTGTAGGAAGCTGAGCCACAAATGTTTTGTATAAAACATACAAAAATAAAATAAGAACAATCACTGTTTGATTGAAATACGAAATTTTTTAATGTATCATGTCAAAAGACCGTCTTCAATTACAGCCNCGCAAACCTCATCATAAGGTCCGAACTTGCACTGCCTGCATTCAGCGGATTCCCATGACCTCAAACAGGTCATCCGTCCACCTTGTAGGAAGCTGAGCCACAAATGTTTTGTATAAAACATACAAAAATAAAATAAGAACAATCACTGTTTGATTGAAATACGAAATTTTTTAATGTATCATGTCAAAAGACCGTCTTCAATTACAGCCGATAAAATCCAAAACGGCTCAAATCAGTCAGCTTAGACCTGTATACTTTTCAATAATACTCAATATCAATAGTGACACTTACCTATAAATAGGGTACCAAATAGCCTTAATCCAGACATTGCCCATCTGTGAGTCTTTGCAGGTATCCTATCCTGAATTCTCCTCCACGCTATATCAACTGGAACGTAGAAGATTAGGGCGAATGATAGGAGCATCACACAGGCCACTAGTAACTTCGCCGTTTGAGCTAACCTGAAAACGAGTATGATAAATCTAAACTATTTTATTTCTAATGGCTATTATTAGAAGGGCGCTTACATTTGAACGAAATCCTTGCAAGTGACATCAGCAAATTGATTTATAGCTACCAATTCCCCTAATCCTTTTTAGAATTAGGGAATTGTTTCATAAAATTTCGGAAGGTAATATAGCGCCTTATTATTTTTTATATTCGATAAAGACTGCAACTTTTTACGTGGACAGGCGTTTCGCCTTCGGTGCTCAAGAAAATACGTGGGAGCATTTCGGCTTTTGGCACAATTAAATTATATTTTGATTAAAAGTTAACAATGTGGTGTTAAAAAAAACTGACTTGAAGCCCTGGTGGACTTACCAAACTTTGAAGACAAATAGGTAACTTTAGCTAAAACTATTCCTAAACATTATACTGTAGCAGAAAAAATAGCAAAACCAATGTAATTCGATTGATTTCATAAGTTTTGTACACTGAAGGTTTCTCTAGGGATACAGAACAGGAAAAACGGGTCATGCCAGAAATCACCGACACTTGGAAATATAAATTTATTCATTATTGGCCTTTTTTGTTATACTGTTTTTTTTTTTTCTATCTTTCTTCTAAATATACTTTTATTTAAAAAGTAATTATAGTAAAGCATAAAGTGATAGCATAGATATTTAAATCTTTAAAACAATCAGTGGTATGCAATTAATTTAGATAGTGACTTAATTATAATTATTTTCATCATCATTTCAGAATCAGACGTAGATAATAATATGCGAGCTACATTTCTTTTCATTGCTTTTGAAGATATTTTAGACGTGATCACCGGTGCGAAAGCCAGGGCCATTTTGACTAAGGTAATTTCTCAAATTGGGTAGTGTACATGTCATGTCAATGACTTCTAGTATCTAAACGAGCTGTTAGTATCTCTGTTCGCTTATTAAAATGTAATATTTCATTCCACTAGTGCTCCCCAAGTGGTCAAAATTTGAGTTTGATTACTAATTTCTATTTTTTGTGTACATGAATGAATGAGCCCCTGCCAATCTGATTTTAAGAGCGTCCCAGACACGAAGTCCCAGTTGTATCATATAACAGACGTTTCAACCTTCAAACTCGATTGCATGACTTTTAGTGGTGCACTAATTGCGAGTCCGTACGGTTAAGCAGCGTTTCGGTTTCAAGGATAGGTCGGCCGTCCTAAGCTGAGACTGAGACTTAGACGAAACGCATTACTGCTTCACGGCAGAAATAGGCAGGGTGGTGGTACCTACCCGTGCGGACTCACGAGAGGTGCTACCACCAGTAAGTCCAGTCTACCACCAGTCTCTATATGGATCGGGGGGCACATTTACTTGGTTGATCAGCACCAGATGATCTGCAACCTCGTCCATAATCTTCACGGCAGAAACAGGCGGTATGGCGCCACCAACCCATGTGGAATTACAATGTACCCTATCAGCAGTGACGTACTCATTATATGTGTTTTTGCTTTTGTACTGATGGTAATTTTCTTGGAAAAGTGGGAAAAAGAAAAAGAAAAAAGGGCGCAATGGACCTTGCTAAAGAAAGCGAGCATTATGTTATAATAAATAATAGTTTAAAAAATTTAACAAAATACACTTTAATAGAAAATCCAACAAAAAAATAGAAAATAAATTTTAATAAATTTGCATTAAAAACAGTGTAAGAAAAAATGATTTTATTGTAAAAAAAAGCGTCGGGTGCTTTTCAGGATATTATCAAAATAACCCTACTACTTCTACTCATATCTGTTCATAAAATATTTATAACTACTGATACCATGCACCCCACGCTTTTTTTTACAATAAAATCATTTTTTCTGACACTATTTTTAATTCAAATTTATTTTCTATTTTTTAGTTGGATTTAAAAAGTTTCAATTATTTTTTTCAGTATTGTATTGTCATCGGTCCTCAATAAGTATACCAAATTTCGAGTTAATCCGACGTTTTGAGGAGGGTCAAAATCATGTTCAAAGATTCCGTTACAAACATACATACGTCTGAAGCTTTTTTTTTTTTTTTTTTTTTTTGCCTTTGTAGGCAGACTAGCGTACGGCCCACCTGATGGTAAGTGGTTACCGTCGCCCATGGACTTCAGCAATGCCAGGAGCAGAGCCAAGCCGCTGCCTACTGCAAATACTACAGCTAATAAAAGCGTATTAAAAAACCTCATGTCGGTTATAAACTTACACTTCATCACGCGGTAGATTTAAAGTTAAACTCCCTCGGACGTCGTCACCGAATTGCAAATATCCAGTGAAGCCGACGAAGCCATAGAGCACGACGACCGCACTCATGGCGATGTTCAAGACCCCTGGACAGCCGAGGAACTGCTGGGGCTTCAACATTTCGTTCTCTATCGGCATCACTACGCCTATGCCTTCCATGGCGAACAGACTTGTACTGTGGGAAATCAATTAAGTTATAACTCCTAATATTATCCAAAGCCGTATCGCGTTATAATGCTAGAAGCACCCACAAAGTTGGATCACAAATGTATATGATCCTAGAAATCGTTACATATGGTAATATGTATACATAATATATATCGGATTTTAGTGTACAGTTTCCAAAAAATAAATAAATACGGTAGTGCTGGCAATTCAAGACAGAAGTATTAAAACTCTTTTTTCTATCTATATTATTTTTAGATGCAATTAATGAGTGGAGGACATTGCGTTAAACGGAGCGTTCAGAATCTTTACTTTAGATTGGACTAAATATTGATTTCTTAAAATGGAAACGCTCCGAAGACGAAACTAGTGAAACAGTGCCACATTAAATTAAGGTTATGTTTCGTGAAAATGCTTTAATACGCGTATACTATGATAGGATTTTTAAAACAAATAGCTTTTGCATGCCTTTCAAGGTAATGTGATAACCTAGTTTGCTGGAATTTACTGGACCCGGAAAGCACAGAAAAGTTCATTGCTACGACCCATACTGGAAACCTATGCTGAGCAGTGGGCTTTTCTCAGATGATTGTACATATATATTTATCTAAAACTTACCTAATAAACGTTGGGATGCCATCGATAGATGTAGCCATATTCCTCTCGGATATATCAGGAGTATCTCTCAAGCAGTAATATATTGATATGCATATAGACACTAGCCACACAAAATTAGCGACTGCCGAAAAAGGTACTAAATATTTAAGTTTGTTTATTTGCGTCAGCGGGACGAGAACTATCAATGTCAAAGCGCAATATGCTGTAACCGACCAATCAGGACCTCCATATTCGACTGAGACCTGCAATGGAACATGGAGAAATACTTAATATCGGAAACCGGCAATTGTCGACAGTATGGAATAAATGGCTTCAGAAAACTGAGTTTTTTTTTTATTGCACTTGTAGGCAGACGAGTACACGGCCCACCTGATGGTGGTCCACGTCGCCCATGGACTTCAGCAATTCCAGGGGCAGAGCCAAGCCGCTGCCTACCGCTTAATACTCTCCACAAGCCTCGTTTGAAGAAGGACATAAAATAAATAATGATATTAAGATATAATGCATACTTTCGATCGGATTTCCTGAATGGAAACAAAGCACTGAGCAGATGATACCAAACAAAGCTATTAAAGTAGTGTTTCGGACTTACTTGTCTAAACGATTCAGCTATAACAACAACATACACGCAGCACGCTCCCATATGAGTGACAGCCAACGACCAGTCCACTAGTTCTCTGTAAATAAGTGTATTAGTTATTAGCTAGATTTGGTGATACTAAGACTAATGTTTTTGATTCAGCTCTATCGTAATTTCTTTAATATTTGCGAGTTGGAAACAATTTTAGAATTAATTGTATGGCTTGATCTCGAATTTATTACTTTTGACAATTATTTCCAACGTTGTGATCACTTTTCAACTTTTGTAATCACGTACTATAATAATATTTAAAAGAAAAGTAAATGTAGAGATAAAATAAAAATAGAAGGTAGTTTTTTAAGTTGCTTAGATGGATGGGCGAGCTCAGTCCACAAGCTCAAGTGGTTATTGTAGCCCATAGACATCTTCAACGTAAATGCCGCCACCCACCTTGAGATATGAGTTCTAAGGTCCCAGTATAGTTAGCACAATATTAAAAGTTCAAAGAATCTACCAACTAGCTGATCGAATGTTGAACAAAATTAAATAGGATTTTACGTATTCCGATATGCAGTAGTCAAGCTATCCGATTTGGAGGATGGGACAATCTATACTAATATATAAATCTACAGTGGTTTTTACGAATGTTCCGTTATAACTACTGAACCATGCATCCGATTGACTTGAATCATGGTATCCATTTAGAAAATACTTTTACTTAATAGATAGGCTAATATTTACATGAGTGTTGGACGCCTTAATAACAATGACAATAAATAATAATGTTAATTTTAAATGCCCAGCGAAGCGGGCGAATACGGCTAGTTAATATATAAAATTGAGATATCGACTTCATATTATATCATGGTGTTATTTTTGTAGCGATATCCATTAACTAGGGTTACCTCATAAAACCAAGCCCGTCTACCCGTCTAGAGCAATAAAAGGAAAAACAAGGAAAACAAGAATCAAAAGCGTTCCATGAAAGTTAAGATTGTGGGCAGCTGCGGCGCAGTTTCGGCGTCCCATGGGGGTAGAGAGGCAAGGAGATTTGCGCTCCACGGAAGTCATCACCTTACACATCTTTTTTCTATAGAATGTATTTCTCGATTTATGAACTTATGTTTTGCACAAAATGAGCTTACAACCCACCTGGTTCTAAGTGGTTACTGGAGCCCATAGACATCTGCAACGTAAATACGCCACCCACCTTGAGATATAAGTTCTAAGGTCTCAAGTATAGTTACAACGGCTGCCCCGCCCCACCCTTCAAACCGAAACGCATTACTGCTTCACGGCAGAAATAGGCAGGTTGGCGGTACCCACCCGCGCAAAATCACAAGAGGTCCTACCACCAGCTAGGCTTAGCTCACAGATTACTAAATAAAAAACTTAGGTGTTCATTTTCATTACGAGTGGATCCCGAAGAGTCTTTGAATTACATACCTGGCAATCGATGCGAATTTCCTTATAGGTTTCGGTCCATTCTGGAAGACGATTTCGCATGTATCAGCATAACCTAATGCCGGTTTTTTTACTTCCACACAAAGCTGCTGTGATGTTTTTACCTAAAAAATATTTTTTTTTATTATTTTATATCGAACATCCCGACAATATTGCTAGGGCGTCAGACAAAATTACCCCGTTAAAAGGCTACTTAAAAAGCCACGTAAAACTGAAATGAGATCTTTACTTATCCCTCGAGCCTACCAAATACCATTTAAAAAAAAAAACCGTTCTAAAATTTACACGTTCAATAATTTGCAAATTCCGATCTAAAATTAAACGAAGCTGAATTAAGCTGAATAGGTCATTCACCGTTAATGTTTACATTTTTTGCCGAAACACGATGTTGTTAAATCTACGAACACAATTAGATACTTGCAAGCGTCATTAGAAAGCGAATGCCCAAGGTTGTATAATAAAATACTTTAAAGTGTTCTCACTATTCTATGGCAAGAGATGCGAATATTTTTTCTTAATTTTTTCTTTTTTAGGTTTGAAGGATTACTGGTGGACCTGGCCTTTCCAGTTCATCCAGGACAGGTGGGCGAGCAAAGGCTCAGCCAAGAGGGGTGGGATTTGCTAACAGCTGCCCGAGTGCCTCCGAAGGAGACCTGACAACTCAAGAGCAGCTGCTTCGCGAATGAATCTACTGCTGGATGGAAATAGTGACTCGCTGAGAATATCCGGTAAGAAACTCAGCGAGCTGATGCATGGGTTAGTTTGCACGTCGAGCTCTTTGTCGAGTTCAACGAGTACGGTTACCGGGGTCCCTAAGCCTGCTCCTAGTGTTAGAGCTGAAGGTGTCTAAGGCAAAGGTTATTGAATCTGAGGGATCCGTAAGGACGTGTATAGGGCGTCGACGGTGACTGGCTCCTGCGTGTTCAGGATTCGGGGAGAGATTTTTTCTAAAAGTTGTGTGATTGAGTAAGAAAGTCCAGTGGCCAAATAGAGATTGAATCTTGAACTGAGTGTCGTTTTCGTTAAACAACCATGAGTTTACATATAAATCGATTGTTATAGTTACATATAATTAAATTTTATTATAATAGACCATTAAAGGTGGAACTGCATTGTTGATGAAAGTTTTACACGTAATTAAACATCGGTCTGGTGTGGCCTTAAGACTCTCTAGACAACAATAGCATCTTATATTTTGGAGAAAGAGAATATTGATCATGAGCCCCCTTTTAAAACAAAACAGCAGACGTAGAAGTCATGATAATTACTTATGTCTATAGTAGATTGTAATTTGATAGGAAGGTGGTACATTTTCGCGTTCTTTTCACTGTCATCAAGTGTCACCATCACAACTGTATAATATCGGTGTTATATCACGTAGTGTTGTAGACACATTTTCAAACTACACATTACATACATGATTTTTATGAGCAAACAATTTGTATCAATAGCTTCGCTTGTAGTACAGCTCAATGCTTATTGAACATAATCATTACATCATTTTAAGGGCTGAGAAAATTGCCAAATTTCAACACAGTTACGTAAGCTACAAAGTAACTTTTTGGTTTGTTTGTTCGTGATTGATAGTGAGTGTAGTTTTACTGTGTCAAAGAATAACTTATGAAATAAGAATAAATATATAGAAGAATAAATTAATGTTTTTGTTAGTTTGTTTACGTATTTATGGTTAGAGTGTCATAGTGTCATTTTTACTGGTGGNGTGGCTCATTTACGTTGGGGATGGCTATGGGCTCCAGTAACCACTTAACACCAGGTGGGCTGTGAGCTCGTCCATCCATCTAAGCAATAAAAAAAAAAAAAAACTGATGACTCTATCTAAATGTTAACCAGGAGACACAGGTATCCTATTGTGGATTCTTCGAGCTATTACTGTCGCTTTCCTACCATCCATGTCTATGTTAAAAGTGCTGTAATGATTTTTTGAAGACCAATCCGTCACCTCTTTTTACTATTACATCGAATGTTTCCAACATACCTTTTATGCCACTTACTGTATGACTCTAGATTGAAATTCTCTCTACAGTGTTTCCTGAACGCTATGATATACCATTATTAATATATATATTCGAGGTTAAGAAATGCAACTTACCAAGATATGTATAACGTGTCCGCAAATAAGTCCAATAAGCATAGTTCCGATGCAACCTACGAGGAGACCAGCGTTTTTGAAGGCCAACGGCATAGCCAGTACACCGGAACCGAGGGATGCTTTCAGTAAATGGGCCAAGGCACCGAAACTCCTAAAATTAGTAGTAGTATAATATTAAAATTAGTTGTTATTTACAAACAAATAACTCATAGTGTTCGCTCGTAATATCTGACGAAATGTATTGAGATTCATTTTCACGTTTAATTCGTTATTATTCTTTCGAAGAAGAAAGTAAGAAAATAGTACTTTTTTCGTTTTGTGTTGAATTATTTCTATGTACATTTGCGTTTCGGCTCGAAGGGTGAAGCAGCCGTCGTAACTATACTGAGACCTTAGAACTTATATCTCAGGGTGGGTGGCGTATTTACGTTGTAAATGTCTATGGGCTCCAGCAGCCACTTAATACCAGGTGGGCTGTGAGCTCGTCCACCCATCTAAGCAATAAAAAAAAGAACAATGGTATGTTCGGTAAACAAAATTAGAAACAAACTCACGAGGTGTTTGACTCCATAGGCCGATGGTTTGCTGGCACGTACGGGCCCATGTCCTCTCGCGATCCATTGTAAGCCAGCTCAATTCTGAAAGCACAAAAGGACGAGAATAAAAACCTTTCAACATTGAAATTAGTTCTGCTATCGGAACAAAACTAACTTTACTCACTCCATTAACATACGAACAATCGGCAAGATTTTTAAAGACGACCAAAATATCCCTACAGCCTTTGTCAACAATGATCACATCGCTGGAAGCAAATCACAAATTCACGATTGACTTCCACGGTGAAGGAATAAGATCGTGTAATAAAAATCAAACCCGCAAAATTACAATTTGCGTTATTACTGGTGGTAAGACCTATTGTGAGTCCGCACGGGTAGGTACCACCGCCCTGCCTATCACAAAACATATTAAGTATTTTCATTTGATTTTCGATAATCGACAATCTCAACTATACCAACCTCGCGTTTTAATTCGAACACTATATCCGTAATCAAGAGTTTGCGTTTACTTAATTGTTATTGCCAACGACCTCCAAATATATATAAATAATTTCAATTGAACTAAATTGTCGGACAGACATTAGATAGTAATATAAATCCGCCTTTAACTGCCGTAAAGCTGCCTAGTACATGCTGGTTCAAAGACCAAGACGGACGTTATAAAATAATTCAGGGTTAAACCACTTGCACATGGTGGCGGTAGAAATGAGTCATATGTCGTCGTTTACTTGCCTACGATCGACTTATCCAACCGCGATAGAACAACGCAGAGCCGTTGTCGCCCAAAATATGTCTTTTCGGATCCCCCGGATTCACTCTCGGTGCTTTTAGGACCCTCAAGCACTGGTCGCCATCCTCGTCCAATTCGTCGATTCGATCGTCGAAGAGATCGACGAGGGAACTAATCCATAGGCAACCCACTGAGTTTTCTCAGTGGGTTGCGATTCCGAACCGATGGTAGAATCTGCGAAGCACTGCTTTTGCTAAGGTAAGCGCTAGCAAATACACCTACTCATGTCCGGGCATGACTGGAATAGCTTCTTAGGTTACCAACAAACAGGAGGAGAAAAAGTCTACGCTGGTAAATTAAATTAAATATCATTAAATTCTTAATATTCTATAGCGCTGCAGACAATCGAATCATGGATTAGATGACCTTAAGAAAACGCACTAATAAATATAAAACGAGTATAAGCTGATTTTGAAAGTCCCTGAGGGGTTTTCTAACTGAAGCGTTCTATGTAATTCATAGTACTAGACTGCGTTCGTTACATTAATAGAACACTCGTTGTTAAAGTCGAGGGATTACTTATATTTTTAGTGATTTAACCGTAAAGATTTCAAGCTACAAATTTCTATAAAACGCTTAGGTATAGTTAAAATAACCTTTCAAGACATTTTGCTTTTTTAAGAAGTTTAAGTAATTGTAATTTTATTGCTTCGATATATCGTAGAGCTTACGATCTACCCGATTTTAAATGGTCTACCAAAGTAGGTCTCAAAAGAGAGAAGGTTGAAGTATCAGTTTCAACTATACTTAAGAAATGGAGCCCGTGATAATATAAAAAAATTGTAGGCTCTCTTTCGCAGAGCACATTTTCAATATTACATTTCTTATTCCAGCAGTATAAATAATAATTTATTGGATTCCACGGTCTTTTTGGCTTTAAATTCTTGGGGTCTATGGGGGGCTGTCATCAGTTAAATCTGAGTTCATCTGCACGTCTATATTACTAAAACCAATAGCTGGTAAAACAATATTTGAATCTTAGTTTATTAGATTACTGATATCTGTATGTTATAAATACCTCCTTTAAGCTACAGTCAGATTGAGATGGTAAACCAGCATAGCACGCATCACTATCATACATAGTATAAAAGAAAGTCGCTTTCTCTATCCCTGTATCCCTATGTATGCTTAAATCTTTAAAACTACGCAACGGATTTTGATGCGGTTTTTTTAAATAGATAGAGTGATCAAAGAGGAAGGTTTGTATGTATAATAACATCAATTAAATAGTGGTTATAATAAATTACAGTTTCCGAAGTAAAGCGAGGGCGGGTCCCTAGCTATCTATAAAATTAATCTCGACTTCAATTCTGGATATTTATTCCTTAAAAATACTACTGAAGACTAATACGACGCTTCACAAATTAAATTATACCTTATAAATACCTGTACCACATGATTTAAGTTTGGTAATTTCACGAATAAAAAACTATTTCACTTTTGTTCAGTTTTCACACCCTGTCCTACTGACATCTAATGTATCAATGTAAAAACGTAAACATTTTAATCTGAATTCGTTGTGATGAGATGCCAAATGTAAAATGATCCTCGGGGGGCGAACTAAATGTATGGGTAATGAGTCCATCAACAAATTGAACAATTGGTATCGAATTAACCTCAATAAATGCAGTATTGATGAAATGTTCGCGTTCCATTGCATCATTTTCGCACTAAGAGAATAATAAGGTTTCTATTGACCAATGTGAACTTATATTTAGTTTAGTTTTTTTTTATTGCTTAGATTTCTGGACGAGCTCACAGCCCACCTGGTGTTAAGTGGTTACTGGAGCCCATAGACATCTACAACATAAATGCGCCACCCACCTTGAGATATAAGTTCTAAGGTCTCAGTATAGTTACAACGGCTGCCCCATCCTTCAAACCGAAACGCATTACTGCTTTATGGCAGAAATAGGCAGGGCGGTGGTACCTACCCGTGCGGACTCACAATAGGTCTTACCACCAGTAATTACGCAAATTATAATTTTGCGGATTTGATTTTTATTACACGATGTTCCTTCACCGTGGAAGTCAATCGTGAACATTTGTTAAGTACGTATTTCATTAGAAAAATTGGTACCCACCTGCGGTGCATCGCTAGATACGAATGCACCGGACGTCTTCTCCTTTGGCCCACGACGACTTGTAAGTAAGGTATTAAAATGGTTTTAAATAGTAAACTGCGTACAAAAACGTTCCGTGTAAAATGGAAATAAAGACCATCGTAAAAAAGTAAAAGTGTTGAAAATTGTCAATTTAGTAGAAATACATGTCGTTTGGGTTAGTTCAGGTTTCATGTACCCGCACTCAGCGAGAGTCGTGTTATGCGAGGGCGTTCACCTCGCATGCTGGATTGGAATATTACATAGCGCGCAGTACTAAAATATCAATTAGCTTTTGATGACGATTTCTGATCTTACAGTCAGAACAGTAACTGAAGTATTTACGGCGTCATCGGTAAGATTTGCTTCCAGCGATGTGACCACATCAGGGATTTGATTTTGAAAATATATATTAATTATTTAACACAAATACGCATCTAGCACGCATTCACGAAAGTCTTCAACGGCAAACGAGCTATGTGGTGTAGTTAAATGAAGTTTGCCAAAGTTTATGAATTTATTTCATTATTAATAGGTTTTTGTGGGCCTACACGGGTTAGTACCTCCTCTTGTAATTTTCGGCCGGAAAGTAGTCGTGCATTTTTATTTTTAAATTATGGAAATTACATTATTAGTATGCCAGCTTGTTGATAAAAGACTTTCACGATGGGCGAATTATACGACCGTAAAATAAATATCGAACCCGAAAAATGTATTTAATTACTGGTGGTAGGACGTATTATAAGTCCGCACGGGTAGCTACTATCATCCCGCCTATATCTGCTGCGAAGCAGAATCTATGGTCTTCCTTTGTAGGTGAGATACCGCACCTTGTGAATCCAAAATCTTTGTGTGTCCACTCTGAGAAGTCAGTCTCGAAATTGCACAAACACTACTACACCTACTGCATATTTTACAAAACAAATACATTGACAATTGTTAATTACACGTGTAGTTTTATTTGATATTTAAATTTTTAAATAAGAACAACATTCCTGTTGTTGTTTATATGTTTTATTTATTGTATACTAGCTGACCCGGCAGACTTCGGAGTGCCTCAATCGATAAATAAAAGACTTCAGCTTTTGTATTAAAAAAAAAACTTAAAACAAACAAAAGGAATCCGTCCGACGGGGGACACATCAAAGGAAAAACAAAATTGTGATTTCTATTTAATTACGAGCATTTTCATATTTATCTACCTTTTAAACCTACTATGGACTTCCACAAATAATTCAAGACCAAAATTAGCCAAATCGGTTCAGTCGTTCTCGAGTTTTAGCGAGGCTAACAAACAGCAATTCATTTTTATATATTATTATATAGACTAACTACTATCTTAAGCTAAGCGGTTGTCGTGAGTCTTTGTGTTTGGCCTTGAGATTTCACATTGAAGGCTCAATTTTGTTATGAAATCGGCTGGTCCACCTTTGAAATGGAACGCATGGCTACTCATCTGCAGAAACAAATAGAATTTTATCAAGCTACTTGTGCTCATAATTAGTAATTAGGCAAGTTAAATATTCTGCTTGTTTGATTTTTTGATAGACGATTCTATCTTCTTCTATTTAAAATGGTTAACCAACAAAACCTCTATGAATGACTTCTAATATTAAGGAATGGACGAACATAGTCGAAACAAAAGTGTTCCGTAAAGGTCACGACCCTCAACACTGAGGAACACGATACAAGGACGAGAGATTTGGCATAGTGACATCTCTGGTTCAACCCTGGTGTACCAGTACAACGTACCTTATCGCAACGGTGCTACTGACTTCTAAAATATTGCTCACAATTGTCCCATTACCCATTGTAGTTTACCATCCCATCACTCACTGCCAGAGCAGAGCTCATATCAGTACTAGTTCGCTGATGCACATGTAAGATTCCAGAGAACACTTTCATCACATTCGGTTCTGTAACGAACTTATTCGTGATTTAAAAATACTCATATAGGCAGCAGGTAGCTCCGTGGTTGTGCTTTTGAAACTACTAATGTCCATGAGCAACGACTCACAGTCAAGTAGGACACCTGACAATTTACCCATAAAGGGTGCTCAGTATAGTATCAGCGGTTCCATGTCTTTAAGACGCCCTATATGATGCCCGTCATGATAATCGCCTTATCGTTGCCGTAGCTGACTACTCCCCAAATCCTGATCACGTAGGAGCCAGTCACCGTCGGCGCCCTAGACACGTCGTTACGTATCCATTAGATTCAATAACTGTTGCATTGGACGTCTTCAGGTGTAACACTAGCAGCAAGCTTAGAGACCCCGATAACCGTACTCGACGAACTCGGCAAAGAGTTCGACGTGCAACCTAACTTAAGCATCAGCTCGCTGAGTTTCTCGTCGGATCTTCTCAGCGGGCCGCGATTACGATCTGGTAGTAGATTTATTCGCGAAACGCTGATCTTGAGTTGTTAGGTCTTCTTCGGAGGCGCTCGGGCAGTTGTTAGCAATTCCCACCCCTCCTGGGTGAGCCTTTGCTCGCCCACCTGTCCTGGTAAAACTGGAAAGGCCTCCGGGCCACCAGTAATCCCTCAAGTATCCCAGTAATCCCTCAGTATTTTGAATACATATATTAGAAAATTAATAATTTAATTTTTGTTCGATTTCTTATTATTTCATTCTCTGTATATTTGTGCGTCGCTTCTACGATTTATTTGGAACTTTGTACAATTGTTATTGATCTTACGTGGAAAGTTTGTTATAGTACAATCAACGTACAATCAGTAAAGTTCGAGTCGTTTCAAGAAATGTGTTTTCCATATATTCAGCGTTAGATACACAGACTGAGAAATGCTTCATAAAGTCGAATAGCGTAAATATTATTTTCGTGTTAAATTTTTCCTCATCATTCTAGTGACGGGTTAATTTAATACTCCAGAACAAACTTTGAGAACTTCTCAGTTTTCCTTTGTAATATAATGAAATATATTTTGATACGAAACTCACATTCATTGTTCATGCGTGATTCAGGCTAAAACATTTCAACAACAACTTGTAGGATAGCAAGAAAATCTATTGTTTTCGTAAATATTTCATCCATCTCGATATGTGAGGTCAAAATCACAATTCTATTGAACAATTCCTACAAAACTTCCAATTAACTTAGCTGGTTCGTTCGCGTTAGGAATAAATAGACCATCAGAGCTTGTATGTTCTAAATCAGGGGTAAGCAACATTCTTATTAAATGGGCCAATTTAAATTCTAATTTCTTGTGGCGGGCCACACAAAGATTAAATCTTATTAATAATTTACGAAACTTTATTTATAATAGATATTAGAATAAAAAATATAAAACTAAAAAAAAAGTAAAGATTTCACATACTAAATTTAATTCAAGATAAAACTAATTATGTGGTGTCGTGGGACACCAGGTAGGAACGAAGTTCCTTCGGCTAATGTAGAATCGACACAATTTGCAAAAAAAAATCGTGCTCAATTTTATGTTGGTTTTCTTGATTTTTCTCTTAAATTTTGCTGATTAGTTTTTATTTAAGTACAGGAAAGTATTCAGGAAATTCAGTATTTTAGGAAATAAAATAAATTACGTAAAATAAAAATAAAATCGTAATTCAAATTATCAATTAAAATAACAATAATGTCTCTTTTTTTTGTTTGACAACATAAAATTACATAGAAATAGAAATAATTACAAAATAGAGAGAGAAGGGATGAGAGAACGAAAAGAAAGAGGGAGAAAGAGAAAGGTACTATACACTACTCGCTTGTGTATGCGACTGTCGCGCCTGCGCACATCTCATTTAACGGTTTTATTCCACGCACTTTTTTCCACGGATTTTTTCTTACGGTTTTACTATCACATTTTTTTTAGTTCGGTCGCGCAGCAAAATCCCTATCCCCTCCAAGCCTGCCGTAAGGAACTTCGTTCCAATAAAAAGAAACAATAAAAGAACAGAAAAACGAATAGAAACGAGAAAGTCCATAAAATAAATTCAATTTTAGAAATGCTTGGCGGGCCGCGTGTTGCTCATCCTTGCTCTGGATTACGAAAGTTTGGAAATTTATTATCAATGCATTTTATTATGTAGTTTATTATCTAGCTTACATAAATTCTTGGTATTGCGTGAACAACACCTAACATCGTATCTGGGGCAGAAGCATTCATTACAAGCTCTAACTAATTAGTGATGTAATTCATAAGGATAACATAAGATTCTCAAGCAAGGATTTAGATTAACATCAAAGGATTTCTAGACGATTATGTATCTACGTATCTACATAATTGAAATCGTGTCGTGATTATGATAAGGGCCGCCAGTTGATAATCTATTTCTAGTTAGTGTTTGCGTTAGCGATAAATGTAGATTATTGAGAGCCACATAGAATGCATAAACATAATTTTCCTACCTAAGCTGAGAGCCTTGAGAGGATATTTCAGCGTAACCTTAACTAGTAGGTGAGCTCACGAGGCTCAAACCTGACGACGTTAATAATACGAGCCCTAGCAAGAGCCGTGCTTCGCAGAATCTTCAACCGGATCGGAAACGCGACCCACTGAAAATATCCGGAGAGAAACTCAGTGGGCTGTGTCTGTGGGTTAATTTAATCGTGGAGCCCTTAGTCGCAAGCGACGGGTTCGACAAGAACGATGGCTGGTGCTTGAGGTACCTAAAAGCACCGTTAGTGGATCGGGAGGATCCGAAATAACGTGTTTTGGGCGACGTCGACTGCTTTCCATTCTGTCCGCAGGATCGGGAATGAAGTTACCGGCGGCCACGATGAGAGGGTTCTCGTGTCGTGCCGCTTTATCGAAGTGGGATAGAATGCATATAAATGGGAACAAGTCACGCACGGTCATCTGACCCAAAATTTGAATTCTCTGTGTTATGGGTGCCAGAGGCTGATATACATACTTATATACGTCTAAATATATACACGTATAGATATTAAGCATCCAAACAAACGTTCCGGCTTGACGAGTGGTAAACCGTTATACAATAGAGTTGAGATTTCGACCTGATGTCTCAAGGTGGGTGCGACGTTTTATGTGTATGTGTTTAAATGTATATCCGTATTTAGTTCCGATAGTACAGGGAATCTTAGCTTTGGGGTTAGATGATCGTCTGTAATGTGTCCTATTGGTATATCTATTGGCTCCTCCATTTAACACCTGGTAATCCGTGAACGTTTTAATCTTTAACGCAATAATTATATAATCAAAACCCAACGGTATGTTTATTTAAAATTTTCAAACATACGTCATGTGTATATGCATACAATAATAGTTTTGATCCTGGTAGATTTCGGTCAAGACGCCTACATCATCATCATCTTAGGCCTTACAGTCCAGGGTGGGCCTTAGCCTGGTTTAGTATGTCTCTCCAGACTGCTCTGTTCAGGGCTTTCTCCTTCCACTTCCTGACACCGATAACAAGATAAACAAGAATCAAGACGCCTACGCTCCCTTCATAAATAAAAATAATTTCATTGGTTCCTTCGTGACGTCAACGACAGACACAGATCGAGGAACATCATCGAAGGTATCCCAAACCTCAGTAATGTGGAAGACGACGCGAGTAAGAGTAGCTACTATAGGGACTGATGTACAAGATTCTTGTTTTTTTCCTAACTATAGGCTGGTAGCCTAAGATGCCTAAGCTCAACCTGAGAGGATTTGCCAGCCCTAGTAAAGAGCAGTGCTTCGCAGAATCTACCACCGGATCGCGACCCACTGAGAAGATTCGGCAAGAAACTCAATGGGCTGTGCCTATGCGGAGATTTTTGTAGAATAAGTACGCATATCGGGTACGTACTTCAGTACCTAACTAAAGTTATGTGAAGGCAGGTGCCCAAATTATTTTCCTACCTATTCGCTAAGACTTTAAAGGCTATTCTGGCTAAACATTATGGGCCCTTATGACTTACGGTCGTTAATGGTGAACATCGATTGACATTAATGTCGCAAAGAACATGCCTGCGACCATTAAAAAGTTGCTCTTAATAAAATTGCAAAGACGTAAATAGTGTGGGCGGAGGCTGGGATCCATATTATGAAAATTACATGTTTTCTATTGAATTGTTTTCTCAAGGGCCCAGCATAATACTCTGTAATTGACTATTGTATTTCATTGTGCCTTTATATTGTTACACGTGTTTGACGGCTTATACATATATAAAAAAAACAATAAATGAAATGAAAATTGTTTGTATTTTTTTTATTGCTTTGATGAGTGGACAAGCTCACGGTCCGCCTGATGTTGAGTGGTTACTGGAGCCCACAGACATCTACAACGTAAATGCCACCCCCCACCTTGAGATATTACTTCTAAAGTCTCAAGTATAGTTACAACGGCTGCCCTACCTTTCAAACCGAAACGCATTACTGCTTCACGGTAGAAGTAGGCAAGGTGGTGGTACCTACCCATTGCGGACACACAAGAGGTCCTGCCACCAGTAAAACTGGCTCAGACCACACATTAAGCGACTTTTGATGTCTTGAATTATATTATTTTGACTTACTTCGAGCTGTAGTTATCGTCCATAACAAGTTGAATGGGAGGAGCTGATGGCTTCGTCTTCTCCATCTTCTATGTCCAATAAGAGATTAAATGAATTTGAAATTCCAAATATCTTGATATTTTCTTGAGGTTTGTTCTTCATTGGCACTTTACACTCTATAGTACCTGTAACAGATTGAAACACAATTCAAATAAACTAGAGGTCCCGCAGTAGTCGAAATTCGACTATAATTTATTGGAATTGTAAGTTTGTACACTATTATGATTGTATTTTGTACTTCTATAACCACAAAATTCGCCAAGACTATAAACATATATATATATAAATAACACTATAAAAATATTAACAAAGACAAACAATATTTAATCTGTTCTCAATTTGACAACAGACGTCAAGAACAAATAGTATGCATGCATGTGTGCGTCAAATATATGTAGTGTGTGTAATGTTTTCTTTATTGATTTAATGTATCTTTTATGCATTATTTTAAAAAAATATTAGCATTGTGCACTTCTTCTCTACATTCTCTATAAGTGTGGAAAATTTCACACTCCACCGTCCACGCAATTTTCGTAAAAAGGGATACAAAGTTTTTGCTTCACGTATTATTATAAAGATATCGTGCTTTCGTTAAGATGATCGCAGGTGAGTCTTCCTCCAAGAATTTTCATGGTGACTGCCAACGGATTGCCATTGTATATTTCATTTCATTGTTTCCAATAATCGTTCCACACAGGTTTTAATAGCTATTATCAGAAACGACCTTGGCTGACTCATGACAAAAAAAAAACGTTACTAAATTAAAAACACGGTTTTAGTTTTTATTCAATATGTATCAAGAATAAGTGCACTTAAAGTCATGCAATCACTTCAGAAGTAGCCAGCTGTTTTGTTTTATGAGTGAAGGATTACTGGTAGCCCGGAGTCTTTCCAGTTTCACCAGGACAGGTGGGCGAGCAAAGGCTCAGCCAGGAGAGGTGGGATTTGCTAACAGCGGCCCGAGCACCTCCGAAGGAGACCTTACAACTTAAGAGCAACTGCTTCGCGAATGAATCTACTACCGGATCGGAATCGCGACCAGCTGAGAAGATCCGGCGAGAAACTCAGCGGGCTGATGCATGGGTTAGGTTACACGTCGACTTCTTTGTCGAGTTCGACAAGTACGATTACCGGGGTCTCTAAGCCCGCTCCTAGCGTTAGAGCGAAGGCGAGTTGTTCCGGAGACCAGGTCTACACGTTTTAGTAAGTTTTACATCATACTGCAGATTACTACATCATGATTGATTCGTTAAAGCAGTAGATTGCCCTTGATTGTTGCGCCGAGGGTCGTGGGTTTGATTCTCACATTGGGTAAGCATTCGTATGATGAATAGCTTTGTTTATTCATTGTCTGGGTGTTTGTTATCTATATATGTATATACAAGTAATTATTTCAGTCTCTGATACCCATAACACAGGGAATCCTAATTTGGAGCAGGATGACCGTGTGTGATTTGTTCCCAGTTATTTATTTTATTTATACTGTGTTGTAAGCATAGCATTTTCAAGGTGTGTGACGCATTTACGTTGTAGATGTCTATGGGCTCCAGTAACCTCTTAACACCAGGTGGGCTGTGAGCTCGTCCACACATCTAAGCAAGAAAAANTCTCTGATATCCATAACACAGGGAATCCTAATTTGGAGCAGGATGACCGTGTGTGATTTGTTCCCAGTTATTTATTTTATTTATACTGTGTTGTAAGCATAGCATTTTCAAGGTGTGTGACGCATTTACGTTGTAGATGTCTATGGGCTCCAGTAACCTCTTAACACCAGGTGGGCTGTGAGCTCGTCCACACATCTAAGCAAGAAAAATAAAAATAAAAAAAATATATTGTAAGAAAAATCCTTGACCACACTATTTTCATAGTAATGCATAATAATAATGGGGTTATTGTAAGCAAATAAGATGCAATTGCGAAACACGTGAGAATGTAAGTGGATGCTGCAGTAAAGATTGTTATTTCGAGATTCTATTTGATTTTTCAGTCTAAAATAATGATACAATTTCCATTTTGATTATTTGTTTATTGTTGTTATAAGTATTATGCAGGTATTGGGTGTATTACTTCTATATGGAAGGGACAACAGAGAAATACTACATTTAATTTTTTTTTCCTACCTATGCTGATAGCCTTGAAAGGCTATTTCAGCTTCACCTTAACGTGTGTAGGTGAGCTCACGAGGCTAAAGGGTTGCTAACACTGACTCTAGCAAGAGCAGTACTTCGCAGAATCTACCACCGGATCGGAAACACGACCCACTGAGAAGATCCGGCGAGAAACTCAGTGGGCTGTGTCTATGGGTTACATTTGAGATTTCACAGACTTGTTTGAAATGTTTTGATCGTTTGACCATCAAGAACCATAAAAACAACATCGATTGGTGTTGACGGGTGAATGCTCTCGCAGTCAACCTGAGTAGGAGTCAATGGGCCATAGCCATTAAATCCTCAATGCCACTTGAGACACCTACCTTCAAGCGAGGTCAAGGTTCAATCGAAATAGAAAAAGATGACCTACTTGTCACAAACGATATCCACGCTTTTGTTTCACAGCAGGTAATAATCAAACTTTCGACGTTAGCTAACAATACGACTAATTTAAGTTAATGGCTAGTAAAAATATAAGGTTTGCAACTATATTTTTATATAAACAGTTACTTAGTAAAAACATAAATACTTTACTGGTAATTTTACAAGTAGTCTATTTTTAGCTAGCTCACTGGTTAATGTACAGAAGATATGTCTTCAAAAAAACATGCGCGTAAAGTTTCATTCCAGAGTCAGATGGTACTTGGCAAAATTTTACTATAGCTTTTATAGGTTGCAATTTTAATTTCAATACACTTTGCTATTGTCATGTCTAGAAATATAAAGTGAAATCGTGTTTTAAGTGATATTGTTTGACCATAAAAGCTTAGAGCTTCCACGATTCGTAGAAACTTTCCTTTTTATTTAACTTTTCTCAATTGTACAGATAATATAACTTCATAACATCGCGCCATCAAGATCTCAACGGGCTATTCTAGTTTAAATATTATGTATAAAATTTTAAATAATATTGTAAATCGCGATTTAAAGAAAATATTACATATTATTATAATTATAACTGGGAACAAATCAAGCACGTTCGTGCGGCCCCAATTCAGGTTTCCCTGTCTTATGGGTACCAAAAACTGATAAACGCACTAATATACGTTTAAATATACGTAAATACATATAATGTATGTATTTACGTATCCGGTATGTATTTACCGGGGTGTATGTATTTGTAATATAGTATGTATAATGTTGTAATTAATTAAAATTATAATAATATGTAATATTTTCTTTAAATCGCGATTTACAATATTATTTAAAATTTTATACATATTCAAATTATAGTAGCCCGTTGAGATCTTTATGGCGCGATGTTATGAAGTTATATTATCTGTACAGTAGAAAAAGTTAAATAAAATGGATAGATAATAAAAAAAATCCTACCTATTCTAGTAATCTCAAGTGGCTATTCTAGATTCACCAAACTAGTAAGTGAGCTCACGGGGCTCAAACCGGGAGTGTTGCTAGCACTGGCCCTAGCAAGAGCAGTGCTTCGCAGAATCTAGCACCGGATCGGAAACGCGACCCACTGAGACGATCCGGCGAGATCTCAGTGGGCTGTGTCTATGGGTTAATTTACGCGTCGAGCACTTCGTCGCATGCGACGGGTCCGTGCAGAACTGTGGCCAGTGCTTGACGTACCTAAAAGCACCGTTAATGGATCGGGAGGATCTGTTATGACCTGTTTAGGGCGGCGTCGACTGTTTACCATTCGGTCCACCCGATCGGTTATGTAGAGATAATGAACATCCAAACAAAGAGCTAACAAATCTGTCCATCACACAATGTTTGTCCGATGTGAGAATCAAACCTACAACCCTTGGCGCAATAATCAGGGCCCCTAGCTACTGCACCATCAAGTCAGCTCGATCAGATATTAGTACCCAAATAAGTCTTTACATCTATACTTAATATTATAAAGAAGAAAGATTTGTTTGTTTGTTTGTTTCGAATAGGCTCCGAAACTACTGGACCGATTTGAAAAATTCTTTTTCTATTAGAAGCCAACATTGTCCCTGATGAACATAGGCTACTTTTTTTAATTTTTTTTTAATTATTTTTTTTGTTTTCATTTGTGTTTTAATGTTTCCGAAGCGAAGCGAGGGCGGGTCGCTAGTACGAAATATTTTAATTCGGTGTGTAACGAATAATTATTTGTTCTGTTGTATTTTAAACACCAATATTTAAAATTTCATAATAAAAGTCTTTGCTTTAAACAAAACAAAATAGAAATTACCTTTGTCTCGTAATTAACAAACTTATTAAAATGTTAAAATCTTAAGTCAACAGACTACAATTACGTTTTATCTCTATAGCTTCATTAAAGTGATTACCAAGATAAGCCGACAACAACGTTGTGCGCGTATTTATCAATACTTCTTGTGCAACCTCAATTCTTTCTTCTTCTATATTTTTCTTATATCCCTCCTCCTCCCTCCGTGCGTCGTATTCCTCAGTTCTGAGGGTCGTGACCTTTACTGAGCACTTTTGTCAGGACTTTGTTCTTCCATTCACTTCTGTCCTCCGCGCAGTGGATAGCGACATTTCTTATATCATAGTCCATTATGTAATTAAAATTTTTGAACGATTCACAAATATAATTTTAAAAAAAGCAGCCATTTCGTTTTAATGTTCTTATACTGACGTTAAATCGACCTAGGTTTTTTTAAGAGAAAAAAGTCGGAGGCTTTTTTATTTATTTAATGCTTAGGTGGTTGGACGAGCTCACAGCCCACCTGGTGTTAAGTGGTTACCGGAGCCTATAGACATCTACAACGTAAATGCGCCACCTACCTTACCATTCAAGCTCAAAGAAAGTCGAACTAGCTCAAAGTCAATTTTATATCTGTCTGAAATCACCGTAACTGTAATGATACCGCCTCTGTTGACCCATGGGGTGACTGGAGGATTCAAATTTGGGAATTACAACTGTCTAATCCTCAAATCGGAAACCGCGTGCAGGTTCGCAAATGCATATTAATTAATAGCACATTCTCTAGTTCTAAGATAATACATACTTTGTA